TTAAAGTGAAGCTAAAGCATTTAAAGCTTCGTTTGCTTATGTATTTGTATATATGTGCATATGTCTGCTTTACTATTTTTATATGTTCGTATGTCTTCTTCCATGTTCCACATCTATTTGCTTGTGTGGATTTTCATTATTTATTTTGTTTTACATTATAAATTATTGCATATCGGTTTCTTGGCCATGAAAATTAATTCAATTATTCAATGTTAATTTTTTTTATTGTTATTGTTGTACTTGTTTTTTTTCGTTGTTGTTATTGTTGTTGTTGGTACAAATTACAATTGCTGTGCCTTTTGCTGTCCATTCGCCATCGACTGCCAGCGCATCTGACCATTTACAAAACTATATAAATATGTATTCGCATACATATATATGTACATATATATCTGTTATAGTTTTAGCTTTTTACTACATTTTTCCATCGCTTTGCTTTTATTAAATACCTCGCATTTGAAATTACATTAGTTTTGCTTTATTTATTTACTTTTATTTTGTTTTAATTTTTATTTTTATTTTTAATGAATATCTTTTTGTTTGTATGTCACGCTTTGTACGTGTTCATGTGTTTTGTTTTTTGTTTGTTTATTTGTTATTAATGCCAAGTGCATGTTACCGTTTTTGTGGTGTTTCTGGTTCAAGTGCCTCGACGATTACGTACATATATACATATAAATGTATGTACGTGTACACCTACATACACACATCTGACGCAGCGTTCACTGATCGATCGATCGTCGTGTAGCTTTAACGAATGCTTTTATTTATGTTTGCATTCACAATTATATATATTTCTATATGTACAAGTGCACATACATACATACATACATAATCAGTGGGGGAATTTCATAAGAAATAATTTCTAAGCCATTAATAAGTTTATGTTAAAAGTAATTTATGATATATTTTCATGCCAACGTACATTAATCGCTTGTACTCGTACAGACATACACAATATATGTATGAATGAAATAAATTCATGAATTACATTAGTAAATCATTCGAAATTGATTTATGTATGTATACCTATGATTTTTGCATAAATTAAGTGAACAACGAACTTTTTGAATGAAAGTAATGATTGGAAATGATCCGTTGGAACATGAATAAAGAAAGAAAAATATATATATATACATATATGTATAAAGTTTTTTTTTAAAAAGAAATAGTTTTGAGTGAAACCACTTCTGGTTTGTATGATTATATAGTAAATTCTACATTATATGAGAATAATAATAACTGACACTATAAAGTGGGTGAAAGGTCAAGAGTTACTGAAATTAAAAGTAACAGCACCGCCAAATTAAAAAAATCCTTAATTTCAGCGAATATATACTGTCGGTGATCTCCTTCTGGGAAAGAAAGTTTTGAAATTTCGGACAAATCCTTTGATCCTGATTTTTTGTCGAGAAATAAGTGTATTAAAAATGTTTATCTAAACTGACAGATGTTATTGTGGAAAAAATCAAGTAAATTGATCGAAAATAATTAATTTCTTTTTGTTTAAGATTTGATATTTGGTCCACCTTTCGAAAATAACGGTGCTTGACCCACTTTCCGAAAAAAAGTTTTACTCGACCATGAAGGCACTCATTGAAATATATTCTTGTATGGGTCTAACCATTAGGAAAGAAAGATACTTAATTTAAGGCAAGTCAAGTCTGGCATCTTGTTCCTCTCCTATATTTCGGGTAATGAAAAGAATTCCAAAAATTCAATCAAATCGATTTAATTTTAATGTATCGACTCCAATTTCAAGAAATTTAAAAATATTTCAGGTAAAATGAAGCATTCGAAAATATCGATCCCTGGCCTACTTCTCGTAAAAAAAAGTTTTACTCGATCATCAAGTAACTCGTTGCAATTTATTCATAACATGAATCAAGTCTTTTACGGGGAGTTAAGTGACAAACGCGCCAAAATAAGAATTATATATAAAAATGTAATAAATAAAAGGTCTTCGAGATAAAGCGCACATTTTTTGATGTGCTTTCTTTAAGATTTTAACACTTCTATTTTAAAGAAATAGAGCGGCATATAACTGTTATTATTGTATTCCTGCCATAAGTGAGCTGGCCACCCCAGAAATCTAATTAGTTCGAGTTCTAAATTCAAAAGAAATATATATATGCATATATAGATATATAAATAATAAATATAATATATATATATAATACTAGCATACCCAGCGACCTTCGCCTCGCCTTAATTACATGCTTTTATATTAAATTAAGAGTGATAATAAAATATATATGTAGATAGTTTAAATCTGAATGTGAATTATTTGAATGAACTCGATCAGTAGAAAGCAATATGGTGGTAAGCAAGCAAGAACAACAACTACCAAAAAATTTAATTTCAAGTGAATCGAATCACAACTAAGATTATCTCGCATGAATCGGTTCCCGAGATTCTCTTAAGGGGTCTTAAAGGCCCAAAAAAAAAAAGCTTATTTTCTCACAATTTTTTTTTAAAAGATTCTAAATAAAGTACACAATTAATTTTCTTTACATATAAATTATTTACAATATGTGGACAACATTTGATGAAAATTTGAATGAAAATTAATATAAGTTAAGGCATTGGCAGTGTCGTGACGTAGACCGTCCACAAGAAAGTGTTTTCGCGGTAGTCATGATAACTTTTTCAATTTTTCTCGGAAATCAAAAATACAAATTTTTTCTTAAAGAAGGTAAATTTTCCTTGTCCCTGAACGAAAGAAAATTAAAAAAAAAATTAAAAATTAATTTTTTTGTAGCTTTTTTTTTTACAAAAAAAAAAAAAGTAATTTTTTGCATAAAATTAAGCCACATATTGGCTTGTAAAATGAGTTGAAATCAAAGATAAAATAAATCCTTCGTTCAGGGACTACAAAAACATGCTTAAAAGAGTGTGGAAAATGTAAAATCAATCGCTTTAATAGTTGTTGAGAAATTTTGACTACCGATTTCGATAAAGTGGTTTACAAAATAACGCGTTTAAAGTTTCGCCATCGGTCAAGCTATGACAAAGACGGTGGGTGTTAAACTCTCTCTAATCTCTACAGTTTCGTCTCGCTCGACTTGAAACTTGGGGAAAATATTCCTGACACTTTGCACTTTTATACAAAAAAATTATCAAAAAAATGAATTTTTTGAAGTTTCAAGACCTAAGTATGTAATCCCTTAATAAAGTTCAATTTTTCGGCCGTTGTCAATTCAGGAAAAACATTAAATTGCTTTAAACAAGAGGGTTTCTCATTCATTCAAAATTAACCATTTATTTGTTCTCTCCTTTGGATACAATATATCTATTCTGCATAATTCATTGAATTGACAATTGTCATAGCGCACGCTATGGGAAACGGAACCCATAAACGTATATACACGAGCGTGCCTTCCAACAAAACTTTTGCTTCAGTCAACGAATGATGTCATCTATTGGATTATGGAATGGAACATGTCAATAAAATATCTGCTCTGCTGCTACCGAAAAACTTTATTTATTAATCCAAACCATAGAGACGACTTTTTCAAATAGTGCGGTCTTAGGTACTATTCCTGGAAACAAAAGTAATGTTCCTGCTAAACGAAGCAAACGGCTACCTTTGTATCAAATTTCAAGTAAATCGAACTTTCAAATTTTCTTAACGAGACACGAGAATCCAGTAGCGGAGACCCACAAAGGACTTATAGAGATAGATGCAGGCATGAGTGAGGCGTTAGAATATCTCCTCTGTAACTGTCAAGCCTTATCTTAGTTGTTTATGAAATTAGAGAAAGTTTTAGAACTGTTTATCAATACTCTCTTAAACTTCGCAAAAAAGCTTACTTTACTTTACCTCAATTTAAATTAAGCCTTCTTCAGTCAGCCAGTATAGACTATCTTAATTAACACAGTCCTCGGCCAACTTGTCTCTCATGCATCCATTTTATATATATAATTGGCGCTTTGAAACCACTCAAGCGATTTTCAGCCGCGCTACTCCTCCAATTTGTTATTTTTGCGTCTTGATGTTTTCCAACTAATGGAGGGACCTATAGTTTAAACAAAGCCGTTTCCGAGCGGCTGTTGATTTGTATTTCATGTCAGAAATACACTTGAAGGGGTTGGCAATCCTTGAGAAGGGGTTATTTTTTATTTTAATTAATTTTTTTGAACCTTGATTTGGCCTTAAATGTACTTAAAACTTCATGGAAAGAAGTGACTAGCCATATGTCTGTCTGTCTGTTTACGCATAACTAAAGTAAGTATTGAAATATCTTGATGACACTTGGTTCATATACTCTTTGGTTTACCAGTAGGGACACCATTACACCATCAGGGTCGAAATAGTCCGTTCATCTCCTCGTGCTCAACTCCATATATAAGTTTTTACTTTCCAACCCTGCTTGTCGCAAGTTCGAATATTCAGGGCAGTAATCAACAGGAATTAAAAAGAATGATATCAAAGATCAAGGGCTATCTCCCATATAGTAGATCTTCTACATAAGACCGAACTGTGGACTTAATATAAATATCACGCGTATATCTAGGTTCGAAACCATCCGATCTCAAAGTGCGCAGAATCGAAAATATGACACAAACACTCATCGGGAACTTGAAGGAGTAAAAAATTACTTGGACTTGCTTTTATCCCTCGTAATGTTCACTTAGGATTCAGAATATTGCGATTTTGAAAATTTAAAAATTTATTTTTGAGCTATACTTGGGATTTTACTTAAGAACCAACTAACTAAATATTCTGACGATTTTTTTAATTTTTTTTTTACTTTGGGTCTGTGAAATTCATTTAAACTTGAAAACATTTGAAGTTTGAAATTCAACTCAAGAATACGAAATTTTCCAATAGTTAAATAAATATATTTATTTACTGTTATTTTTTGGAATCATATTGACTAACATACGCACACATTAAAATATAACGGTTTAACTATTTGTTTCCTATGATAAATATTATTTTAATAAATTTAACTCATATTTCAATTCATATTATTCTTTTCCTCTCTTCCTCATAGGGTGACTACATTAAACATCCCGTCCTTTACGAGCTCAGCCACAAATATGGCTTCACCGATAATCTACCCGAGAGTGCGCTACCTAATCGCCTCGAGGAAATCAAAGAGGCGATACGTCGTGAAATACGCAAAGAGTTGAAAATTAAAGAGGGCGCTGAGAAATTACGCGAAGTAGCGAGAGATCGACGCTCACTGAACGATGTTGCAACGATTGTGAAGAAAAGCAATAGTAAATTAGCCGAATTGAAATCGGAATTGCAAGAACTGGAGAGTCATATACTACTAACGCAAGGCAACTCCATGAGCAATGGCAGAGGTAAGCAAATTTTTGAACAAAAAAAAAGTAAAAAAAAATGCAAATTAAATTACGCTGAATTCTCTCAAATATTGTCTACTCACTAAAGCCATGCATAATGGCATAATTGCCACAGTGAGTACACTGTTCTACAAGCTACATATGTACGTGTATACGACCTTTCTTTCCTTACAATTATTTCTTTTTTCTTAGTCCACATTTTTATGAATTGGAGCAATACTTGGCATATGGCCAAGCAGCGATGAAAATAGTCCATTGTTGTTATGACCTCGTGGCTGCTAAAACGTATATTCATGATTTGTATGACTAAAAAAAATTTTTTTTTTGTTGAATGAATAGCGGCGCTGGACGAATGGTTTGCTGCCTGGCTCGCTGGTGGCCGGCTAAACTACAAAACTGCACAATACACAAGATACATGACATGACAAGAGTGATGTATTTGTTGTCTATTATGCAATTCTTACATATTTCGTCATCGCTTCCGTTATTCTAGACATGTGTGTTCTATGTAGTGATTGAAATGTTATTTACATGGGTACTTACATATCTACATACGTCCACAGGTATGTAGTTAGAGATGTTCTTGTCGTGCATTTGCTGACTTTAAGCATACAAAACAGTCTTTTTTATAATATTTCCCTGAGGCTTCATTATCGCTATCGAGGCTACCAAGTTAGATCTGTTAGGTTCTTATATTTTTGAAAAGTAGTTGCATATGCTAGAACATTGTTTTCTCAAGCGCAAGCTTCTTTTCAATGAATTTAAGATCTCATCAAAAAGACGACAGGGTTGGGGTCGCCGAAGATCTCTCTCCCACTCTGAAAGTAATTGATATTTCTAAGAGTACTAGTACGACGTATCCTGATCATTGTTTAATCATCGAAACGCGAGTACCCGGCACAAAAATACAAATTTACCTGATTTCCAACTCATATTGCTTATAATTTCTATATCAGGGGTCATGGGATATTTGACATTCCGTTCTCAAGATTTCTCCTCTGTTGTCCACCTTCCACTCAGCACTTATAACACCTTGTAGCCTCGTTCAGCAACCGTGGAATTGGCACGAGGTTCAGTTGTCTAGAAGAGGACAACAGGTATATTGACGAGTTTCTACCGTCCCCAGCTTTTTTCGGGTTTAAGAATTTATCCTCGAAATGTCGTAAAGGCGACTAAAATCTAATAGTTCTGAGAGTTTATACCAGACCTGGATTTTATTTATTCAGCCAAAGACTGTCACTCCTGCATATTTTTGTGATAAGAACTGTAAAAACGAGCTGCCTTTCACCTTAATCTGGGTCATACTCAGCAGTTCGATGGTGTCCATTGACTTCGCTATTATCCAGCATCCATTAATAATTGAAGATTCCATCCTCAACCTATCTTACAAACTTCAGTCTACAGTGAATAAATTGACATCTTCTTCATTTCATTTTCTCTAGACTGTACTCTGCGCTTAGTATATCGGCTGAAGCGATTTTCGGCCACACTCCTCCTCCTATTTCCGGTATGCGACTTGATGTTTTTGCAACAAATTGAGGGCCTACAGCTTATAATAAATCGCCTTTAAACTGCCGATCTGAGCTTCTGTTTATCTCGATTAATGGCTACGTGATTTCGCTCTGTCATCTGCTGTTGGCCCTTTTGGTCAAGGCTAGTCTTCAATTTTTTGTTTGAGAAAGTTAGTATTTGGACGTGTCCTCCTATGCAATTCCCTCATAGTTGAGTTGCCTTTAGTTTTGATTTAATGAGTATGGAGGTTGTCTGCTGAACTTTTTTCCAGCTTGTTTCTATAGGTAGGTTAGTCTAGTGCTGGCCACCAGACTCCGTAGAATAATATGGGTCTTATTACCGCCTTGTATAGCCAGTACACAATATGTGATCTTAGCGTCCATCTCTTACCGATCGCCGTCTTAAAGGCGTATAGTGCTGTTGTAGCTTTCTTACACCTTTCTATCGTCTTCCGGTTCTGGGTGATTTTGCTGTCTAAGATTGTGCCTAGGTATTTAATATCAGCAGAAAGAGCGTTGTCGGTGCCTTTTAGTAAGGATGGCTCTAAAGCATATGATTTGTATCTTCTAGTGAAGAGAACGAGTTCAGTCTTTGGAGAATTCACATTCAGATCACACTCACTCCAGCAGCTACATTCTGTGTAGTGGCTATGAAGGCAATGTCCTCACAACCTATGTTTATTAGCTTGCGAAGCAGGGCGTTAACTGTGAGAGAGAACTCCCCTCTCCCTGTGGTTGCCTCGTTTGACATGCCTGGTAACTGATTTGACTCCACATTCAACGATTCAACGAAAATTGCTCTGTTTATTAAGAGAGATTTCACAAGATTCAATATCTGCGAACCGAGACCCATTTCCCGGGGGCTCAGACGTAAAAGCCCCCTCTATGTAAGTCGGTTATTTGGAGGTATCACTTAACGTATGTGACTGACAAGCATTACCCAACAATATATTAATGAACTGTTTTCACTTACAGTCCTTTTTCTCAATTTTAAATAATTTTTCCTCCTCTTCTCCCTTTTAGATGGCTACTGTTCAAATTTATCAACGCCAACCTCAACATTGGGTGGCAGTGTTAGCAGCTTGGGCGGCAGTGGTGGTGGTGGTGGCCTTATTGGCGGTGGCCACGAGCAACTTTCTACCAACGACAAAATGCTCATCTCACTCGAGAAGCAATTAAATATCGAAATGAAAGTGAAAAATGGCGCTGAGAATATGATACAATCACTGGCTAATGGTCATCATGGGCGTGATAAGAAACTCTTAGCTGAGGCCCAACAAATGTTGGCCGATTCAAAGGCGAAAATTGAATTCTTACGCTTGCGCATACTCAAAGTGAAGCAAAATAAAGAACATGCTCATAAATTGTCCGCGCAAGCAGCGATTGCTGCGAGCGGTGATGGTGAGAATGGTGGACAGCCGCAACGGCTGGAGACGACGCTCGAGGAGCGTATCGAGGAGTTGCGGCATCGGTTACGCATCGAAGCTGCTGTGGTGGATGGAGCGAAAAATGTGATAAGAACCCTACAGAATAATAAAGTGCCCGATAAGAAGGCGTTGCAAGAGGTGAGTGAGAAGTTGTCTATATATATATATATATGATTATATATAAATTAAGGAAAAATAGTTTAAAAGAGAAAAGTTAAGCAGAATTTAAGCTTTATCGTTCTGGATTGGTTTATACGTATATTTATTTCTCATGCTTAAGTAAATTTTACATTGTCTATGAGTGCAGGAAAGTAAAAGTAAAATCATAAAATCATTTTAAAGATTTACTAGTTTACCTAAACGTAAATTAACCGTTAAATTTCGAAACTAAAACTTATTAATACAAGTATTTATGAGTTCAAATCTTGTTTTAAATTTGATTCAATATGGTCAACTGTATCTCAAACCAAATACTTCATTTGCTTTTAAAGCAGGTAGGTAGGTTGAATGCTTACCGTGCATCAGCTCGCATAGGCCATGAGCCACACCTGCTAGTCAAACCAGCATGTCAGGCTTGCAATACCAAGCAATCGTCTTATCTTTGCCCTCCTTGTTACGCTTAAGCTCCTGAGGGTAGCAGCCTGAATTCGCAATGAAGTATCTTAAATTCTTATGTTCCTCTGCAAATTCTGCCGCAGTCGTTAGTTGGTAACCCCAAACTCTCTGCATGCCTGTGCAATAAGTTTGTCATGTAAGAAGATCTATAACTCTAGATATCTCTTTTCTCTTCAGTGCAATAAAGCCCCGTGACTTTCTTTCATCCCATACTTACCACATAAGCATGGTCGCTTTAAACACATTGAGACTTCTTCATCTTTAGTAAGCATCTGAAAGATGAATATCTCTCCTAAAGTGCGTTTACAAGTGGAGGACGGCATACCCGAACACTCCAGGTATGGCGAAAGTGTAAGGAAAGTGCCCTTCCTTGTAAGCTCGTCCGCCATATCCTCATCCGATTCGTTATTGTGTCCAGGCACCTTTACTAGGTTCAAAGAGAATTGCTTAGTCACTGCGTAAAGTGATCTGCGGCAATTATATAATTACAGAATCTAGGGCTTTTGATGCGGCCTTGCTACCCGAAAACATATGATTATGATTTTCTTAGAGCACCAGAAAATTGGGCTGATAAAATTGACAGTCTCGTTCCGTGTGTGTCAATCACTAAAGGTTTTTGGTTAACGAAAGGATTTGTAAATACCAAGATCCCTTGGGTAAACACCGCAACCGACCCTGTTATCCAGTTTTGCCTTAACCGTATAAAAATCAATCCCTCATACAGGCTTTCCGGATTTAGAAATCCTCTAAGAAAAAATTCACTAATTCTGAATACAAAGCATCAGTTGGTGCGCTACGTAATCCTCCACAAATACGCAAGAGTGCCGTCCTCTGTACTCTGTGAAATTTAGAGGTGACAGATTTTTTCCCTAGTGGCGGCCTCCATATTGAAATGTGAATCCAGCGCACTATTTTGTGGTGACTTGCCCTATTTTCGGCCTATCGGATGTTTGTAAGCATAGAGGGCGATGGACGTTTTACGCATTCTTTCCTCCGAGTTCTGTTACCATCTAAATATCCTATCCTGAATGAGTCTGTTTCTGAGAACACTGTTGTTGAAAATATTGGTAGTTTACATATCCTAGTGAAGATAATATGTTCTGTCTTCTGTCTTTCGGCATCATTAACCCACTTTTCCAGTTCCAGTGTTTTTCTGACATGAAATAAAAGCTTCTCATAACGCACAACACAAATTGGAGTCATAGCTGGGTAGAGATTCGCTTCAGAACCTATTATATATGTGTATATAACCGCCAGATCGGTCGCATACGCTATGACCTTGACCTTGCAACCTTAAGAAAAACTACCCGAGAGTCGACACTCGGGCAAGTCAGGACAGAAGTAACAACAGTCGGCTCTATATCATTGAAGGCATCCTTAATAACCAAAAAAAAAAGGGGCTAAGGTGTAGTCTTTAACCGAGATAAATCTCTCTACGCTGTCTCCGTTGACTTACCTTACTTACAGACATGTTGAGTGTTTCGAGAGATCGTGATCCGAAGATTTGAATTAACTTTTTTTTTTTTTTAACTATTTTCGTTTTATATAAAAGAAGATTTTAAAGAGAAAAATAATGCGGCTGAAAGTCCATGAGTGGAATTCTTGACTTTTGTTTTTCCTTCCCCAACTTGAATTGAGTGAAAATTATTTTTCCGCAACTCGAACCTCACTGCAATGCGCAAACTACATAACGATCGGCGGGTGTGTGATGATTCATAAAACTTGTTAATAACTGTAAAAGTGATTCCATTGTGTTCAAGCAAGAATTTTAATTCCATGTCTTTCTTTTTTGTTTTGCCATTGTGAGTGGAAATTGGGCTAATTACTTTGCTCCATTTCTAATCGCTAAAATTCATTTAATGTGCGATCGCCAAAAATCCAAACGTCAATTTTGAATCTCACTAGCGCACTTCATATACATATGTATGGACGTATCTACCACACTACCGCGCCGCAGCTCGTGTACCTTAGCGCTGGCTTGCTTGGTCGTCTTCTCGTGGATTTGCTACGAAATTTAACAACACAACAACACTGATTTGGAAAAGACACATAAATTATGCACACGCCTGAGTGTGTGTTCTAACATCATACTTCATTGTTGTTTTTTTTTAATTTTTCCTTATGTTGTTTTTGTTATATCATACACTAGTGAGGATTCAAAAAAAAAAAAAAAAAAAAAAAAAAAAAAAAATCATCTACGAGGTGTGTTCAAAAAATGAAGTCGATTTTCTAATTTATAGGGCTACGTTGCGTTTTCGATAATTTTCTGCAAACGAAAAGAAGATTAAATCAAAAACTTTACATGAAATTTTGTACAAAACCGAAATACTAGAATCCAAAAAACTTCGAATGTTAAGAGTGGCACTAAATTAAAAAAAAAAAAAAAAAAAAAAAAAAAAAAAAAAAAAAAAAAAAAAAAACGTTTCAATCCCCTATTCACTATTTTTTTGCCCTCTTGCGAACTTTTCCTATTACCGAAATTGAGCAGAAAAAACCCTAATTTTAGAAAGAGTTCAAGGGCATACCAAAAAGTGGATATTAAAACTTATGCAAGGAGAGGAAAATGTTTTACAGGGCCTTCCAATAAAAGGAGTTATTTAGATATTCAAAGAAAATGCCATTTTTATTTTGGAAACAATGAAAAAAGCTTTATTTCAATGTAAAGAGGAAAATATGCCATTAATAATAGAACTGCCGCGACTTCTCTTACAAGACCGTATCCTCTTTATGAAATTTCATATCGCCAAAACGCAAACCGCCTGCTGTATGTCTTCAACAGCTTCAAGCATTAAACCTTTGAGAGCCGGAATCGATATTGGCCTGTTGGCGTATACCTTATCTTTCACGTGGCCACAAAGAAAGACGTTGCAAGGTGTTAAATCACAGCATTTTGGTGGCCAATTGCGATCACTTCTTCAAGAGATAATCTAGTCTAGATTTTTTAATTCGTGCCACGTAGCGTAGTCTTGTTGAAAGTAAATCTCTCTTTCGATAGCGCAAACCATTCATTTTCGAAAAAGTAAGGGCCAGTGGCCCCGTTGTACCATAAACCGCACCAAACAGTTGCACCTTGAAAGTGGAGAGGCTTTTCAAAAATAAAACTTGACACACCTAGTAGTAATATTTGTATAATATATATATATATGTAGTACTATTCTGAAAAGTTTGGCACTAGAATTATATATGGTCACACTAATTAGATGACGGCAAATTGGCTCTGCCATATACCATTTAAAATACATCTATTCGCCCTCTAATCATCACTACTCTCTGTACGATTTCTGTGAGCGTTTGCTCTCGTGTCAGATGAAAATCATATTTATGTGCATCAAAAACAAAAAACAAGGTTAGCAAAGTGAATTCAATACTGAAGAGATTCTGAGAACCTTTTTTTTTATTTAGTTTTTTTTTAATTTTTAATTTAATTTTTTTATTTTTTATTTAATTTAATTTTTTTGCTCAAACAATTTTAGACCAAGAACTAAGAAGTAAATTAAATACTCGTATTAACTTATATGAATATTGAATCGTTGATATTAAACTCAATTCTTTGGAGAATCACAACGGTCAAAAAGAAAATTCTATAGACGCTGACCTTGTTGGGAATTCATAGAGCCGTTTATGGTCTCTTGGGGAGAGTCCCGATTCACTAAAACGTGTGGCGCTGTTGTTGATGCTGTAGACGTCGAAACAGAGTTGGTATAACTGCGTTAATAATCGCCAAGATCATAAAATCAATCCGATTGTTTGAATCACTATCAGTACAATTGTATCTCCATATCGACACGATTCAGATAATACTTCTTTAGAAACTTTCTTTTTTGTGCACTCTGTTTTTTTTTTTTTTTTTTTTTTTTTTTTTAAATCTGAGCCATGAAAAATTATTTTTTTCTGAACTTCTAGATAATTTAACGATACTATCTTGCGTTATTAGCAACGAGAGTCTCGGTGTTTCATTAATATCCTTAGAATACTAATGTTTTCGCTGGGAATGAAACCAAATGACATAGCTTAGGTGGTTGGTTGAAGGAGAGAAGGTGAGGACCTTACTGCAAACGGCTGCCATTCAGAAAGTGTTTGCGAAAAGTTGGCTCAATTTTATAAAAAAATCAAGTTTCATCCAATCAAGCTGGGGGCATGGATGTTATCTTGGCATTGCGGATTGCTTTCCTTGTATAAATAAATTCACTTCATTGGTCCCTTGATTAAAAAATACTTTTTGATTTAGGAAAATATTACAAAAATGCTCTTTAGCTACATTTCTAAGAAGTTTCAGCTTCATAAAATTAAAGATCAATCCATCAATTAATGCCTCATCGTATTTTTCCGATTATTATTTTCCTATAAATAGATCAATCGAATTCGAACAGAGAAGTAGCAAAGCTGATCGGATTCAATTCCTCTTCTGAATTCAAGAACAGCCCTGCGTGTTTATTTCTGTTGCTGTTTTGCTTTAAAAATTTAAAAAGTAAGAATTCTTGTTTCCGTATAAGATCTTCAACGAAGTTATTTCGTAATTTGTTTAGCATGGCCATATAATAAGTTTTGACATAAGTATTAAGTAAACTACAAGGCCTGGTTGTTTGTATGAATTGAATATTTTTGTTATAAAACAAAGAAAAATGGTAGAAGCGACAGCTGTTTCGGAGATCACCACATCTCCTCATCAGACTTTTATATGGCAGGCATCGAACCAACGGATCCTGACTTAACAGGCGAGTGTTCTACCACTGCGCCAACATCAGCCATATAATCCACTGTTGTATTATTCAATTCATTATTAACCAACAGAAAATTATTTAATTTGAAAACAAGAAAAATTATTTAATTTTTTTTCATATTAGAAAAATTCAGCAGTAAGTTTCACCAGTTTTTTCCCATGCCGAATTCGAGCCGAAACTCAACTATGCTAAAGGGTTTTCCTAGTAGAAGTGTTATTTTGAATAGCCTGCTATTCCGGTAGATCCCACTTTGAAGCTGTAATTTTTTTGTTATTACTTTGAAATATACCTTGATTTTCAACATCGTGTCTTTGCTGATTTGGTCCTTGAAATGCATGAAAATGATACGGAATTTCATCGCAAAATCATCTTGACTGATGAAATCCTTTCCCAACTCGGTGGCTATGCCAATAAGCAAAGCAAAACGTGTCACATCTAGGGCACGGAAGGGTTGAAAAGTCTCTCCATGGTCAACGTGTTAATGTTTGATGCAGTTACAGCAGGTACGTTGGAACTGGGCAACGTTTACTTTCCATAAGACGGCGCTATGTGACACATAAGCAACGAATCTATTAAGAGCTAAGTTTCCGGTCCGTGATATTTCACGAAGTGGTATTAGCAATTGCGACTTATTTCTTTGGGGCCACATGAAAGATAAGGTATACGCCAACAGGCCAATATCGATTCCGGCTCTCAAAGGTTTAATGCTTGAAGCTGTTGAGGACATACAGCAGGCAGTTTGCGTTTTGGTGATATAAAGTTTCATAAAAAGGATACGGTCTTGTAAGATAAGCCGCGGCAGTTCTATTATTAATAGCATATTTTCCTCTTTAAATTGAAAGAAAAATTCGTACATTTTTGTCATAAAATTCCAGTTTTTTTTTTGGAATAACAAAATAACACTTCTCCTTTGAAAACCCTGTACAAGATTGTTCCAAAAGGAGTCGCCTGATAACGACCAGTAATTACTTGAATATTTAATATCCGTTTTTAAGTCACCCTTCCGGGTCTTAGCATCCTTTATACTCGAACTTTAACAATTTTTTTTATATACTTCCAGAGGGGTAAAGTCGGAAATGATTTTCAAACGATTTGCTTTTTATTCGAATTTGAATATTGGAATAATTAAACTGCACGAATATGTTAAATACTCAAATTAGCTGCTATATTAGGAAAGTGTGAAAATGTATTCATAAAAATTTCAAATCTCGACTAAACAGCTGCGAGTACTGAGATGCATCAACAAGTGCAACTCATTGCAGAGAATCGGTTATGAAGTAAGAAAAAAGTACTTTATGTAAAGAGTCTAATAAAAGAGGAAAACATCAAAAGCAAATATTTGAAAATATTTAAATTTTATGTGAAAGATAAAATTGTAGAGAAAAGCGCTTTTTATTAACAACAATAAAGTATATATTTCTCGCATGCATTATTTACTTGGTGCATTTACTTACGTAAATATAGGTCACATTAAATTAAAACATACTTAGATACTATAAATCCGTATATGCTCTTATGCATGCACGTATGTCTGTATGTATGTGCTTAGGGCGCATGCAAACCGCCGCTACCACATGAATGTGGTCAACAAAACGGAGTTAGAAAGAAAGCCTACAAACAAACGTATTAAAACACACACATATATACACATACACACACACACAGCGGGTCATAATAATAAAAATAAAATGCTTGTGTAAATGCAATTTTCTATTTATTTTTTCTTATACAAATATATCTACATACATATGCATACGTGTACATATGCATATCAACCAACTGCATACTCGATTATTACCTCACCCACAGCTCAGCGAAAGCATTGTTGCATTATTGTTGCCACTGCCGCATATCGTGTGTAACTAAAGTCGAATGCAATAATAATATTTAGCGGTAAGAAAAAAACCAAAAAAAAAAAAAATAATATAGTGAATAAACATCAATGAATAGTTTACCAGATGCCATGAGATGTAACATATTTATGCCTGCTTATGTTGTTATTTTGTTGTTGTTGCTTGTTATGTAGTCAATGCAATTGAGACGGCAACCGAGGCGGGGCAAATTGAATTTGCTCTCAAGGCAGATATGTTTGTATGTATGCATTTATATTTACACACATACATATGTACATAGGCGGGTGGTTAGCCATTGGGATCACTAATAAAACTCAGGTGAATGCTTGGTAATTAAATTTATATTTATAAAGATTTTAGGTCTAGTAAAAAGTAATCCATTATGGGCAGCTCTCGAGAGAAGCCAGGTCTTCACGAGCCAAAACATTTGTCATAGACAGGAACACATGGCAATCACTTGGTGCGACTTGGTTCAGACTATAATGTGGATGCTTAAGAACCTTCCAACCAAGCTTACGGAGCTTCTGGCTACTCACAATCGATGTGTGTGGTCTGACGTCGTACTGATGAAACACAATTCCTGGGCGTTTCTGGGCGATTACTTCCTTCAAACGGTCCAGTACAGGTCCGAATTAAGAACTTGGTTGTGGCGGTCATCTTTTAGTAGACGATCGTTTGCCAAATCCCACTAAAAAAACCTTCCTGACCGTCAGTCCTGACCAACAAGATCGTTTGTGCCGACTCAATATCCTTCAAACACCACTTTTTTCGATTGTCATTGCTGTGAGTGATGCACTTTTCAACACCAGTTATCAGCCGCATCAAATATGGGTGGTTGTCGTGGGGAGGTTTTTTTCTCGTTAAGTAATGTGACGCCCATACAACGTGCTTCTTGAGAATCCAGTTTCTTCAAGTGATTCCAAACTGTTTTACCTCCGAAGTTTAGCACCTGGGCAATCGAAACAGTGCTCACATGACGGTCAGACACGCTAATTTCCATAATTTTGTCAACATTTTCGACACGACCAACGCCACAAAGAAACTGCTCGACTCTCTTAAATGGAAAGCCTAGAACCGTCAGGCGCATTCTCCTGATCTAGCATCATCAGACAACTATCTCTTTACTTCTCTGATGTTGCAAGACAAACTATCTGCTGTCGTCAAACAAACAGTCGGTAATTAACGGCTCCCAAGCTCCCAAGTCACTGTTGACAGTCATTACTTAGAAGTTGTAAATGATTTCGTCTATCTTAGAAACAGCACCAACGCAGAATCACTTTTGCCAACAGATGCTACTTTGGACTGAGTAGCCAATTGAAAAGTTACGGTCTCTCTCGACGAACGAATACCAAACTCTACAAGTCGCTTATCATTCCCGTCCGGCTATATGGTGTGGAGGCATAGACGATGACAACATCTGATGAGTCGGTGTTAAGAGTTTTAGAGAAAGTTTTTGGATAAAATTTATGATTTGCTGAAGGTTGACAATGAATACCGCAGCCGATGGAACAATGAGCTGTACGAGCTGTACGGGGAGGTTGGTATAGTTCAGCGAAGCAGTGAACAATGGCTGCGGTGTCTTGGTCATTGGCCCGAATAGATAAGAACAATCCAGTTTTTATAAGTTGTCGATGCAGTACCCGTTGGTGGACAGAGGAAGAGGAAAACTTCCACTCCATTGGAAAGACCAACTGGAGTCCTAGCTGTACTGGGTATCATATTTCCAATTGGAGCCAAGCAGCGAAAGGAAGGAATGAATGGTGGACTGTTGTTGTTAACTCGGCTACAATTGCGTGGGCAGTGTCTATGCCAGTAAAAGTAGAAGAGGAAGACGAATCGAGCATATATTGAAAGTCTGCAAAGAAAGGGCTTAAGGCTTTTTTTGGGGCTTCAATGGTTCTTCAATAGCTATTTTTTAACCTTCTGAAATAATTTATATTGAAATATTTGAATTAACTAACTAAGACTTTCGTCAGATATGAAGTATATATAATATAAAAATATAAACATACGTGTATATATTATTTTTGCACAGCGCTCTCATTAACCGAGAGCTTATTAGTGATCTGCATGGTGGTTAAGAAGCATATGCAGAAGAGCATTTTCTTTAATTTAATGAGCGAAGAAAGATTCTAACCACTCAACTCAACTCAGCGGATTTTCCCAGCACTTTTCCGCCACAACCACTATCTCGAGAGCTGAGATGATTTTTCGCGCTCGTGCAAGTGATCGTTTTAGCGGACCGTTAGTTGTGTTCGTGCCGTGGTGTTGTTGAGAACGTTTTCCTTGTGCATATGTTCGTGCTGTCGCGTTGCGTTCTTGTGCGTTTTGTGCGTAATGTTGTTTGTTGGTCATCTCAAAGCACTGACGACAATATAAATAAAATTTAACCTGCAATAAAAAAAAATTAAAGAAAATAAGGAAAAGATATAAAAAGTAGAAAGTCTAAAAATATTTATACATATAAAAAAAAATAATAATGTTAATTCGCCTTAGTAACTTTTGCCGGCAGCTATTTAGAGTTACTTCAAAGTGAAATGCGAATATCACGAGTGTTTATAAATTCGAAATAAATGTTTTTTCTTTGGGAAATTTAAAATTTTTTTTATGCCCAGAAACTGGTGTGTGAAAGTGATCAGCTTTTCTGCTGAATGCAAAGTTTTTAACATAAACATTATAATTTTTTTATATTTTTTTTTATAAATTTTGGGTTTATTTAGTAATTTTAAGTTTATATTTATTTTTTATTTATTTATTTATTAATTTTTTTTAAATTTATTTTCATTTAATTTGTTCTGGGGAAAATTATGCAAAATTGCGCAATCGTATTTGAGAAGAAAATTTTTATTATCAAAATGAAAATTTGCAAAAGTACCTAAAGGGCGCTTATATAACAGCTACGTATAAGCTATAATCTGTTGGAAAAGGAAATATTTAATATAAAAATTCAATACACAGGATGTGCTCATCTCCATTTCCTGTATTGAGAGAAGAAAAAACCATTTGGTTGTCATTATAAAAATTCAATTTTTGCAATTTTAAATGCGTTTTTGATGATTTATTTTCGTCGTGCGACCTCAAAAGTCTCTTTTAAAGCTCAACTACTACAACACTTGCATTGCATATTTCAAGCATTTGCACCTGTAATGTAAATATGTAATTTTGCGTTCTATAAATGCAACGCTGTTGACTCGCACATCGCGCATAAATGATATTTTACACAACATAGATGCATACATACATACATACATACATATATTGGCTAATAAAAATCTTTTTTTCTTTTTGGCCTTTATATTTTTAATTTTATATTTATGTGTATCTCTTAGCATGTGTAAGTCGGTGTGTGTGTGTGTGTGTGTGTGTGGTTGTGCCCATTTTGCGCTTGACAACGTCACACTGTGCGTGTATTGTTGTTGTTCTGCTGTGTCCGTTTGGTTAGCCAAAAACTTAAAAATAAAAATCTTAAATTGTAATAAATTTATAAAAGAAAAAGTATTTTAAAAAATGAGAGTGATTTGTTTTTGTTTTTGTTTCTTTTTTTTTATTACTGGCAGTTGCGTCAGCCATAGTCATAGTCTCTGTCTGTTGTAAATTTTCTGTAAAGGAAAGAATAAATACAGTTTTTGTGTTGTATTTTTAAACGCATTATTTTAGTGCAACAACAAAAAATGACAAAATCAAGAAAAGAAAAATATTTCTAGTGTGTCTTCTTGTAGTGGACAATTTGGCATACTTTGGGTTGCCCCAAAAGAAAAGCGGCGATTTTTTAAGTGAAATAAAATACATTTTTTTTTTAGTTATATATGAACTTTAATCAATTATGGAATTTCCATTTTGTTGGATGACCCTTCGCCAACCTTTCGAAAAAAAAACTGAACCAAGTGCGATTTTATAGACTCGTCATTGCCGAAAGTTATACCATTTAATGAGTTCAGCAAAGATCGAAACAAATGGTAGTCTGACGGTGCAAGGTCAAGGCTATGTGGTGGATGCATCAAAAGTTCCCAGCCAAGCTCACTCAGTTTTTGGCGAGTGACCAAAGATATGTGCGGTCTAGCATTGTCCTAGTGGAATCTGATACCTTTACGATTTACCAATTCTGACCGCTTCGGGGTGTTGATGCACTCGATTTGTCCAATCACGAATTAATCGTTTTGCTCCTCGGAAGCAGCTTAAAGTATACCACACTCTTCCAATCCCACCAATCTGACAGCATAATTTTTTTTTTGGTGAATATCATTCTTTGATGTTGTTTGTGGCGCTTCATCATGCTTGGACCATGAACATTTTCGATTGACGTTGTGGTAAACAATCCAGTTTTCGTCTCCAGTTATGATGTACTTCAAAAACGGATCATATTTATTGCGTTTAAGATGCATGTAACAAATGTTGAAGCGGCTTGTTATATGAATTTCTTCAATTCTTGTTCGAAATTCAAGTTTTGTTACCAGTCCTAGACGTTGTATGCGATTACGAACTACTCTCTAATCTCACGCTCAGTTACATGACGATCGATAAAGGCCTTCATATCGTCAAAATCTACTTCACTTGGTCGACCTGAACTTGGCATGTCTTTGAGTGAAAAATATCCCGTACGGAATTTGACAAACCGACTTCGACACTGTGTTTTTTTTAAGGATTTATCACCAATTTTCAACCCCGTCTGTATGAAGAATTATTTATTAAAGTTTATACTCGTGTGGCAGGTGCCACGACTATTTTGTTAAAACTCATCAATTTTTCTTGCAAACTTTGGGAGGAACTTCGAACTCTATAGAAAAATTTCCTGAATGTTAAGGGTATGAATTTTCTTAAATTCGTAAACTCAACCGCTTATTTATTGGTTAATAAAAAAGTATCCTTTTTTTTGTATATATTTGAACAAAAGAATTTTTTTTTATTGAAAATTAAATTTAGTTTTGGTCACATAAGAAAATTCGTTTATTCGTAAAATCTCTATAGACGATCTTGCTCCATTTGCTGGCGGAATTCAAGTGAAACTTAAGCGTTTAGTTGAATGTATATGACTATTATGGAAAGGTCCTAGTGTTTTTTTTAGTATTTATAAAGCTCTGTTGTCTTTTGTAAAGGTGCTGTCAGGGAATGTTATCTTTTTCATACTAGTTGCGGTTGTCAATTGGGTCCTAGTGTTTACGCTACTCTGAGACGCACAATAATCAAAGCGAAAAGTTGATCACCACCACCCCCATACAGTAACTTTATATTATAAAGGAAAAGGTTTATGAAAATGAGAAATAAATTAAAAAATCAATGTTTGTAAAATAAATAATTAAAAAAAAAATACAAAAATAAATAATAAATTAAAAATTAAAAAAAAAAATAGTGAAAACAAGAGAAAATAAAAATTGTAAAAACTAAACAAAAAAAAATATTTAAATAAAAATTAAAAAAAAAAAATATTTAAATAAAAATTTAAAAAAAAAATATTTAAATAAAAATTAAAAAAAAAAAACATTAAATAAAAAGTTAATAACAAAAAAAAAAAAATTAAGAAAAAAATATTAAAAAATTCTAAAAAAAAAATTCTAAAAAAAAAAATTCTAAAAAAAAAAATTCAAAAAAAAAAATAATAATTACAAATTCAAAAAAAAATAATAAAAAATTCAAAAAAAAATAATTAAATTCAAAAAAATAATAAAAATTAAGAAAAAAATAATATAAATTAAAAAAAAATAAAATAAATAATATTGAACGAATAATAAATAAAATAATGTAAAAAAAAATAAAATTTATTATTTAATTTAAAACAAAGTGAATAATAAATAAATAAAAAAAATAGCAATTGGAGAAATTAAAAAAAAACACAAAAATTTGAAATAAAAATTAAAAAATAAAAACTGGAAAATAATTATTAAAAAATAGAATGAAAAAAAAAAAATAAAATAGAAACTAAAATGGAAAAAAATAAAATGAGAAAATAGTATGAAAAAAAATAAAACAAGAAAATAGGATGAAAAAAAAATAAAATAAGAAAATAAAATACGAAATAAAGATAAAATAAGAAAATGGAATAAAAAAAAATAAGAAAATAGAATGAAAAAAACAAAAAATAAGAAAATGAAATGAAAATATATGAAATTGGATCGAAAAAAAAAATAAAATAAAAATGAAAAAGAAAAGAAAATAAAATTAAAAAAGAGAAAACAATAATTTGAAAAAAAAAAAAAAAAAAAATTTGAAATAAAAATTAAAAAATAAAAAATTAAAAAAATAAAAACTGGAAAATAATTAATAAAAAATAAAGTGAAAAAAAAAATAGAAAAAGAAAATAAAATGAAAAAAAAAATAAGAAAATAAAATGAAAAGAATAAGGAAATATAATGCGAAAATAAGAAAATAAAGTAAAAAAGACAAAAATAAATGAAAAAATAAAATAAAATTAAATTAAAAAAATAAATAAAATAAGTAAAAAAAATAAGAAAATGAAATAAAAAAAAAATTCGAAATTAAAATGAAAAAAATAAGATAAGAAAAGAAAATGAAAAAGTAAAATAAGAAAATAAAATGAAAGAAATAAAATATATAACAAAATGAAAAAATAAGAAAATAAAATGAAAAAAAAATAAGGAAATAAAATGAAAAAATAAAACAAGAAAATAAAATGAAAAAATAAAATAAGAAAATAAAATGAAAAAATAAAAAAAGAAAATTAAATGAAAAAATAAAACAAGAAAATAAAATGAATAAAAGATAAGAAAATAAAATTTTAAAAATAAGAAAAAATGAAAAAAGTGTAGTAGGAAATTAAAATAAAATGATATAAAATAAATAAAATGAAAATAAGAAAATTAATCAAAAAACTAAAATAAAAAAAAAAAAAAAAAAANTTAAAAAAAAAATAAAATAAAAAATAAAGTGAAAAAATAGATAAAAAATAAAATAAACACATTTAAGACCATAAAACATAAAAAACAAAGAAGTAAAATAAAATATACAAGAGAGAATGAAAAAATTAAAAAATAAATAAAGATGTGTAAAAAAAATGATAAAATAGAAGAAAACAAAAAATAATGAAAATATTAAAAAATAATTAAATAAAATATTCTTCCAGGATCTCAAAAAGTGTCTCCAAAGAAAATAAAAACTTAAATTTAATAAAAAAGTGAATGTGAATAAATGTGTAATCGAACGAACTGCAACATCTTGTAAAGCATCGAAGAAATTCGTGAATGAAATAATCAATGTAAAACGAAATTTGAAAGACAAAAACCAACACCAGCCACCAGGCTGACTAAATCCACGGTACACAACACACACATAAATGCATGATCGCCTGCGATTCAAACGCCGTTACGAATCATGAGTGATGCCGGTGAGCCGGGCAAAGTGCCACCTTCCTCAGACGACAAACAGCAAAGTGAAACGCAGGACTCCACACGACGGCGGCCGCAAGCCGCAACAAGTGCTTTACCACCGCAACCACACGAACTGACGGCGGAATGGACTGTGCGCGCACAATTAACTTTCGCACGTGCCGGTGAGAAAGTGCAACGTGAATTTAGCGCCAACGACCCGGTCAATCCAGTGCGTGTTGTCTACAAATGGTCCACATTCGATTCGCCACTGCCACCGGACGATGACGCAGACATTGCGGATGCGGATGCGGATTTAATGGACGACTCGTCGACCTCGACACTACACCAGCGAAACTCATTCGCCAGTCGTGGTTCACGTCAATCCACGCCGCTTAAGGTGAGAAAAAGCACATGCTAATACATATGTGTGTGTGATTGAAATCATTCGCTTTTTTATACACACAGACCGCACAGCAACACAATCGACGTTGGCAGCAAGCGGCACACGAAAGCTTTCGTTCGACAACCTCATCAACCAATGCTGATCTCGGTGGTGGTGATTCCGCATTCAGCGGTTCGAATGCGTCCAAACAACGCCAACGACCGTATCAACGTCAGACTCAGACCACAAGCGGCAATGGTACGCACACAACGGGCACTCCGCTTTACGGTACACGTTGCCGTAGTACATGCAACATTGTCGTCTCAGCCGTTGCAGATTTTTTACCCACCAACAGTGCAGCGGGCGATGCTTCCACCGGAGCGGGTGAAACGGCGGCTTACGCGAGTAGTGGTTGCGGCTTAGGCGGTGCAACGACACATGTCATGGCTACAGCGACGGATCTTATACCGGAAGAAGAGCCGGATCCATTTGTATTCAATACAACGGCGTCGTATACTGTCTTACCTCAGCGGGTAATGATTGATTTTTGTATGAAAATTTGGCGCAACAACAACACAAGAGTCGCTGGTAAAGCTTGAGTTTATGTAATTGTGAACACGCTTTTTGTGTGCACCTTTAATTAGCGGCTTTCTGTGATTTCGTTTCTAAATTTGAAGTATAGTTGCTAGCCAATAGACAGTGGGCGGCAACATAAATCCTCGGCCTCATCGCTGACTTCAGCCAACCAACTAACTATCTAACGATCTACTTAAGCGCCAACACGTATAGCCCATGCGCTCATTTCTCGCGCCTCTAATCTGATCCGCTTTAATCACCACGCTGTCTACGTGTGCGCCGCATTACGGCTCTTCGCCGCCCACCTCAACAGACCGTGCCTCGCGTAATAATTAATTATACGTTCGGTGCTCTCGAGTGTTCACTCAAAGACAAATCAATGTTTATTGGTATTTGTTTTTGGTTGCTTTCTTTTTATTTTGTTCGATTTACTACAACAATATCGCAGCGCTATTTTTAATTTTCGCCTCATTCGCCAAAATTGTTGCGATTTCCAACGGAATTGGCTTGTTGCGCGTTGAATTGATGATGATTTTGCACTTACTCTGTCTGTCTGTCTGTCTGTCTGTCTGTCTCTCGAGAGTTCATTCGCATCTTGGCACTGAAAGAAAAATAAGAAAAAGAGGTATAATAAAGTGAAGAGATTTTTTTTTTTTTTTTTTTTGAAGAAATCAATTTTTTTTTTCAATTGTCCTGAGTAAATGTTCCCCTATTTCGCTCGAAAATTTCAGCCAGCGACTCTGTGTACTACCATAAATGCAAGCCCCACAGGTATTTGGTATCTCATTCCACCTTGATGTCTTTCTCCTTTCACCCACTCACTTAGTCCATCGATTCCACGATGTCTGCAGGTTCGAAAAATCTCAACACATTTGGTAAAATGTTAGCACTTCGTGATGCTTTCTCACAGACAAGCGATACGGAGACTAAATATTTTGAAGAGCAACGTGAACGTCGTGAATATGAGCGACGTCGTTACACTAACAGTCGTAGTCCGTTAGAACGACGAACTACGACGCAGCAACAACCTCAACAGCAGAAAGAGCGTAAGTCTTATGAACAGCGTCGTGCCACAACAGAAGGACTACTTCAGACGCCTTCAAGCCATATTGGCGGCGGCGATTCCTATGTGGACGAGGCAAACTCCTATATGGTAAGTTAATCGATCGTGAAATAATCACAAATCGGACTGGACGATGAACCTTATCCTAAACGGAATGAAGTGGAGATGGAAAGGACGATAAACAGATAGTGAGCTCCAAAGAGTCAGAATTATGCTCGAATGATCGGAGTCACTAATAATTATTACAGTAGGAGGATTGTCCTCATTCCTCTCTTAAGAGTTTATTTGTAAAGATGTGTGCTTTTCGTACTGAAAATAATCTAAAAAAGAGCTGGAATTGTGTGGATGGTTAGATGGTAGAGCTTCTCTTTTGGTAATAGTTTTGAGAAAATTTATTCGCATTAATGCTAGGTTAGACCTTTCAAATGCACGTCTCTTCTAAGTCCTCTTTAGTCACGCGGAGGTCAGACCACTTTGGAAGTATGTAAACAGATCATTCTAACCAACCATATTCGCCAGTTTAAAAGCCTAAGCTTTTCTTCTAACATACTCCTTCTAAGAATCTTGTCTTTAGATTGCATGACACCAAATCAAGTTTTTACACGCCACCTTGACAGGGTCTTCCGGTAACTATACCGATTCCGAAAACAAAATGAAGACGAAGATTGATAACTGTAGTCATTTTGAAAAGAGATTTTTCGTACGATCCACCTCAACCACGAAGAAGACGAAACAATATTTTGCATTTTCCAAAATTAACTCTGAATTATTTAACCAAAACCAACGGTTTATCTCCCACCCAGCCTTCGTTTCTAACCTCACCATCGCACACATTCAAGTCTGCCTCAATGCCGCGCATACCAACCATGCCAGAACAAGCACGTGCCCAACAGCTACAGCAGCAACAAACACTCGCATCCAAACAGAAGTCCAATTCGAGCGAACCGTTGAAGAAACCGCGTACCGTACATATTGACGTCTATTGCACGGGCTCCGAGGATGAAGACGATGATGGGGATGGCGGAGAGGATGAGGGTGATCATGCCGATGCTGAGGCCAGTTCGGATGCTTCGCACGATGAGGAGGATGATGCGAGTAAGCGTTTTGATTTGGAGTCGAATTCCACGCCTCAAACTGTCTTCGACAATGAACAACTGGTTTTGAAACATAAACGCATTACTGGACAAGCGTTACCGCGTCGCTTACAACAACAGCAACCGCAATCAGCTTCAAAAGGCGCCGAAGCACACGCCACCCACAATCAGCAGAGACAACAAGCAGGCGATTTGAGCATTGGTCATGCGATAACCAAGTCAAGCACCGCAGAGGAGGTGTCTGAGTCAAAGCAATTACTCTTTCGCAAACATATTGGCGATCAACGTGCCGCGAAGTTGGCAGCTCTACGCCAAAAATATATGCGTCAACCCAGTGATGATGCCATCAGCTCTAATTACCCGAACTCATCGCGTTCGACGGTGCGTGACGCTACTTGCAGCAGCATTGCTTCGAGCGTAGTGACCGCCGAGTATGCGGATTCTTCGTGGAAAGAAACAGAGGATCAAGAAGAAATTAATTCGCTGGCGAAGTCAGATAGTTTTGAGTATGAGAACACCACAGATCGGTTGCGCATAAAACAGATGGAACGTTTCTGGTCACGTACATCGTCTATGGATGATGGATCTAGTGGGCAGCGTCAAATGTCTTCGGCTTCACCCGTACGCGGGCACATGCAAGGCGCCTTCTTGCAGCCCATATCCGAAGTGAGCTCGCAACGTAACTCACCGTACACTAAAGGGTTCTTGCGCAACGACACTTTACCCTCGGAATCGGAAGTCTTTTCGGAGACATCCGACAACTACTACACCACCTATCCCGGTGCGACGCCTCCTCAACGTGCCACGCCCACTTATCTACAGCAGACGTCACATTTTCCACGCAATCGCCCAGGATTCTTGCAATTTTTCGGCCCTTCTGCCTCACCCAGCCCCCAAAACCAAATGCATCCTCACATTTCATCGGAATCGCCAACACCAGCTGTAACCACAACAGCTGCTGCACGCACCATGGTCTCGCCACCACATGCGCAACTAGTTTATCCTGGTTATCAACCACATTTGCAACGTTGGAAAAGCGAGACGCGTGACAATCTTTCAACTCACGGCACTGCATCGCCAGTCGATCGCAGCAGTTGCGGCGCTGTCTCACCACCGCCGTCATCGACACATGGACTCTCGCCCTCATTTCAGCGTAGTGGCAGTGAGGCGCCACCAGCGACCACCTCAGCTGCGACATTCCATCAGTCGCCCATGATTGCGCGTCGTTTTGAAATGAAACACGAAAGTCCAGCTATTAGCGAAGCCTCTACCACCTACTCCGGCTACACGGCCGAATACCTGCTGAAAGCGAAAAAGTTTGGACCGGTAGTGAGTACAGCACGGAAGCCGGGTCATCACGTTGGACCAACAAAGAATCCAAATTGTGCTTGTGAGAGCTGTCAGCGTTGGCTGGCCGAGCGGTTTCAGGTGCGTAGTCGTGCATTTTCGCTAGGAGAGCGTCCAATATTGCGACGTCCCACTTGAGGGAGAGGGAGCCAGCGGACGAATGAATAATAAATGAATGAAGATACACTGCCATAACTTAGTTAAAGGAATATAGAGTTTAGTTCGAGCTAAATTTGTCCGTATCCAATAATGAAAATGCATTTATGTTACATAAATGATTATAAATAAAGATAGATACATATATAATATATATATATATGTATTTATATATATACGATTAGGTCTGGATGTAGTATATATAATGTTGTTGTTGTTTCTGTCTGTGTAAAATACTTAAGCAGCCATCTCAAATACTTCTTACATACATATCCACTTCCCTAAGAGCCGATTTAATTAAAAAAAAATTTATTTTGCTTGTATCCATAATTTAAAGTAAAATTTCTATGAAACTAATTTTTGTATGAATGTTAAAAGGTAAAAAGTAGAGAGACTTATCTCTGCATCTAACATACAGGGTGCACCATCTGGGCCTTCGGTACTTCAACATTGATTAACTCTGTCGGTTGTTAGTCGATTTTCATTAAATGCCATTTTAACCATGAGCCAATACACCCCGAATGAACGCGTTGAAAGCGTAGCGCTTAACTTCGAAAACAATCGTTCAATTGTGAAAACAGCACGTGTCTATCGTTTGAAGCTCATTTCACCCTCTCCGGCGGAGTCAATAAACAAAGCTGTGGATGGCCGCCTCGTTTTCCAGATTTAACTGTACCGAACTTTTTTTTCTTTGGAACTATTTAAAAAGTAAAGTTTATGCCGACTAACTAAAAGGTACACACGAGGCGAAATAGCTCAGTGAAACGCCTGAAAAGCTGGCCAATATTAAGCAGATTGCGGGAAAAGGAGCTACTTTTTGTGTATCGAATGAAGGTGGTCATTTAATCGTCGTTGTGTACTGAAACCAATTCGAAATAAATGGCAAAGTATATTAAAAGTATATATCAGAGTTCCTTAATGTTGAAATATCGAACGTCTAGATGGCGTGCGCTGTACATATACTCGTATGTACTTAAGCGCTTATGTAGAAACCAACTGTTCCTCAATTACCCCAGCTGAATTGTAAAAATGTCCAAAAATGAATAAAATCTTTATATAAAATACAAAAGTTGTTGTAAATTTTCTTTTTTTTGTGTTTTTTGTAACTGGAAATGGGTCAACTAGTATAAAACTAATTAATGTCTGATGTATAATAAACCAGTTCGGTCGACCAGAAGCTCCGTTGTCACATTTATATTAGGCGGACGAATGTTGGTTTTCAAGTGCTCAAGAGTTAACGGTTTATACACATAAACACGGACTTTCGTGTTGTCCCACAAAAAATAAGTCCAATGGTGTTAAATCGCACGATTTCAAGGTAAGAGATTACGCTGGACGGTAAATTTGTCTCGCAATAAAAACCATGTTCGGTCGTGTTCTGTGGTATGTGGTAACATCTTGTTGAAATTACATATTCCCCAAGTCGTGTTCTTCAACTGCAGGTTAAAAGAGGTCGGTTATCACTCGATCATAACGTTCCGAAATAACAGTAATTATTTCGCCGTTGTCGTCTTCAAAGCAATAAGGTCCAATCACATCTCCGGACGAAAGAGCACACCAGACAGCAAGATTTTTTTTTCTTTTTTCTTGGGTGTAACGGCTTCTCTTCTTTGAAGAATCGCGAATCACCAAATGCGGCGATTTTGCATATTTACGTTAACGGCGCAGAACTTGGCAAAAAGATTTTCTTTCGGCCAATTTTTTCTCCATCAAGACAGTATTGCAGAGGCCGAAACAAAGGGTAATCAGAAGATGGAAGGTGGGTGCATCAAAATTTTCCAACCGTGATCCGTAAGTTTCTGAGTGATCATCAAAAGTAGATGTGATGAAAGTTGTCTTGATGTTGATGAAACCCAAAATCTTTTCTATCCATCAGTTCTGGATACTTTTTTTTTTTTGAAGAGTTTGTTGTATGCATTTTTGGGCTCAGAGTTGATAATTTCACCACGATTTGGCAACTCATCCCATCCCAACCTTACTCTCTCTTACCCTGTTTTATATTTGCCCAAGAGGAATCGCTTCAGAAATGGTTTGATTTATTCGCGTTTCACTTAGAGACAATCGGTCAATTATATAACTTTAATTAATCGATAAGTTATACTACAATGTTTCGTTTACTTGGAACACTAAACATTACGCGGCTTTCTGGCAAGTATCTAAAAGTGATCTTTACTCCCGACAAAGAAAATCGAACTATACATGTCTATCCTTTGGGAGACTTCAAGATAATGGTTTTGCTGGGTATTTATCGCCCTCTGCGCATGAGATATACAACAAAATTAATATAATTCAGCAATTTAAGAGAGAGAGGTTACACTGGGTGGGTAACGTCGTCTGAATGGACGAAATCGTTAAACCTCTGGAAGTATTGGGTGCAGAGGAGAAAACTGGCGTGCTATTGTCATATCAGCTTTAAACGCGTGAGCGTTGCCAAATAAGCAAATCCCACACTAAACCAAAGGTTGAATCACCTTCACTTAGGTTAGGTAAGGTAGAAGTGCTCGTCGATTTTCGGCGCATATAACCCAAAGTAGGTTCGTTGTTGCACAAGTACTGACCTTTAGAGCCCTAAAACTCCCTAATTATTTTGAAACAGATCATTTACCTTAGCCAAATGGCCTTTTCTGAAACCATTTCTCCCAGCAGTAGTCTCGGCTTTCGCCTTGCAGTGACGTCTCTGTTAATAAATCTCCAACCATAAATTAATAATAAATTTCATAACCTTGTGTTCCTGTGGCAGAATAATAGATTGTACTTGCCTAGAATCTCAGATTGAGGGAAAATGTTTTTCTGGGACAAGGTAGCCAAAAAAGAGACAATCTGTTTTTTCTGCCTTTTCCTAACAGATCTGCAACGGTGCAGCGCTTCTACAATTTCAGCTTCCACTAATCTTTTGGGGTACAAAATAAGTCTTCGGCAACTACGCAGTTTAGTCAAAGCGAGTTTCGTCATCTCATCTGAGTTACTTCGGCAGTTTGAGGTGTTGTATTTCGTATGACAATAAGTTTTCATCACTTACATTTATATTCTTCTCCAGCGAAAGGCTTCAAAGAGGCGATTAGATGGTAAGTATAGTCGGGTCATGCATGTAATGACTCAAGATGAGACTACTGGTTGGCTAATGTCCTCACATTCGAGGCATATATTTATGTTCTAACATTAAATGAATTTAAGGAGAATTTCTATAATATTATTTCTTCTCTACTGTTAATGTAACTGTAAACCAATCCAAAAACCGTAAGTCATTGTAAGTTATTGTTTATTTTCTATATATTTTATGTATCTAATTTCCGCACAAGTATCTAATATCCGTTCTTCAATCCCTCAACAGGCAAACATACGTCTTAGTGAGTCGTCGCGTAAACTGGATCTTCTTAGGCACTCACTCGACTTGCGGCGTCTCGAATTGCCCGTAGATTCACCGGCCGCACATCAACTAAAATCTGAACTACAATCGGTACAACAAGCTTCATCGCCAATTCCAGTCACCTACACGTCACTGCAACCCTTTCATGGCGGTTTGTTGGGTGGCAAACCATACCAACAGGTCTCTTCACTCGGACGCTGTGCCAGCGTATCTGGTAAACTAGAAGTGCGTTTGATGGGTTGTCAGGATTTGTTGGAAGATGTGCCTGGACGTTCGCGTCGCGATAAAGATAACAACTCCAGTCCGGGTGATTTGCGCAGCTTTGTTAAGGGCGTAACGTCGCGTAGCAGTTCGAAAAGCTACTCAGTCAAGGATGAGACATCATCCGAAATAATGGCAGTCATAAAGTTAGACAATATAACGGTAGCGCAAACATCCTGGAAACCGTGTTCGCAACAGGCCTGGGATCAGCGTTTCTCCATCGATCTAGATCGTTCGCGTGAGCTTGAAATCGGCGTTTACTGGCACGATTGGCGTTCGCTATGCGCTGTGAAATTTTTACGTTTAGAAGAATTCATCGACGATGTGCGACACGGCATGGCATTGCAGCTGGAACCGCAGGGTCTGCTCTTTGCCGAAATCAAATTCCTCAATCCGATGATATCACAAAAGCCAAAATTGCGTCGTCAACGCATGATCTTCAACAAACAGCAAGTGAAGAATATACCACGTGCCAAACAAATGAACATCAATGTGGCCACCTGGGGACGTTTGCTCAAGCGTAACACGCCATCCAGCACACACCTCACCACCGAGGGCGCAACAACACGCGGTAATTCACGCGATAGTGAATCGCCCATCTCACGCTCACCATCATCCGGCACCATCGATGCCGAGCCGGAACCGTATTCACCTGGCCAACAGGCACGCAATTTGGAATACGATCCCGATGCTGGTCTCCACGAGCACGTCGAAACACCGGGTGAATGTCCCGATCCAGAGGTGAGCGGTTTGAGTGGCATGCGTCCGTTATCGATGCAGGGCATAGCAGTGTTGCCACCGGAAGTGCCTTCACAAACACAACAACAAGCTGCGCTACAACAGCAGCAGCAACAGCAACATTTGTCTACGAAAAACAACAATTTGCATTTGCAAATCGGCAGCAAGCTTGGGCCAACGATGGCATCGCCTGAAGTCGGTGGCGGCATGTCGCTGGGTTCTAGGCCCACTTCGAAAATGCCAACACCCACTCAGACGCAGCCGCCGCCCATACCGTCTACTGCGCCACCAAAACTGGATCCAGAGGTAAGTGTGTGTGCGTCAAGAAGGGGATGAATAACAGCAACCCGATGCCTTTACTCATGAAAACATAAACAATTTATTATTATTATTTTATTTTTCTTTGAATAATTTAAGTAGGGTTTTTGCAGTAATTATTAATTTGTTGTGTTTTTTTTTTTTGGTTTAGTAATTTACGTTATTTGTATTAGGTTTTTTTCGGTTTCATAATTTTAGCTAGCTTTGTTGAAATTTCGTTGTAAATTAATTTTTTTTTTGTATTCAATGGAATTGGTGTTTGTTGTTGCTCTCGTATTAGGCTACTGTAAATATCTAGTTGTTAATGTAACGGTGTTGGCATATATTTTGGTATACATTTGTATATTTCTATAACACTTTAACAAAATTGACCAAAATTATTTTGAGTTTAACAGCGGATAATATTTGTGTGAGACTACTTTGCGAGATTTCTAGGTTAGGCTAACGATAATTCTTTTGTTGGAAAATTAGAATTAAAACCGGATTTGAAATAAAATGAGCAACTTTAATTTAAGATTTTTAGCCAGGAAAATTTCTTATAAATTATTATATAATACGATAAATAATTCCTAAGGTTAGAAACGTAGTGTCTCTTCAGAAATCAAAACCATATTTTCAGGTTAGTGGTTAGCGGTATATCCGACGCTGGCGGTAGCTCTTAGTTGCATGACTCATATCTCTCATTTATTTATTTTTTTCATCGACATATGCTCATTGTCTTTTATTAATCTCGTTAAGTTTTGATTTTTAAATTCATAATTAAACTATAGAAGGTGACAAATTAATTGCGAAATAAGTATAATTTAAAATACATACTGAGATTCCGAGAGAAGTATTGTGTTCAAAAGAGTATTTTTCATTGAAAAAAAAAAAAATATTTCGGCTGATTACCATTTCCAAAAAACCAGGTTTCTCTGTCCTCGATGTACTTATTGAGCCATTCTTTGTTTTATTCAAAAGACCCGAAGTCAAGGTAAAAAGTGGTCATATCGAGCAAGAGTAAATTGTTACCGAAATTTGTATAATTTTCACAAATTTTGTACTTTGAAGTGGTTAAAAAAATTTTCAAAACTGAATTTATGGTCTTTTTAATAGGTGACACTTCAATTGCCTGTGGTAAATTGGTTTTTTTTTCGGATACCGGGCCGAAGTTTCGGAATCTCCATAAAACTTTCTACATAGACATTTTTTGAAACCGAGTTTAGGCTAGCATTTTTCACGAATATTCTAAATGTAATCTTCAGGAAATAAAATGTTTCCTCGTCATTCGTATACACCTCTTCTATTAGTTCACAATCCTGTCGTTGAATAAAAAATTTAACTAAAATATAGTAAATATAACTGCATTCTAAAAAAGCCTTCTATAGTTAAAATATGATTTTAAAGATCATTTCGAGAAACATTTCTTATTTTCATACTTGTTTTTATAATCATTTTTGAATGATCTAGGATATGCATACATATGTATATGTATATATATATTATATTTTTTTTTTAATTATGCATTGTATATGTATATTTAGTGTTTATGTTTTCGATGTAAGTTATAGTATATTATATGTATTAGCAACTCGTCTAAATTTATCGTCTCAACATAACTACGTACTCTCTGTGTCGCTATCTCCACTCATACATTCATTACGCATTATACATAAATACATAATCTAGTGTCATATATACATACATACATATTTTTTTCTGTGCTTGTGTTCGCCACAAAATATGTTTCTTTTTTTTTTGCTTTTGGTTAATCGACGACAGTTACAGAGCGCCTTGCGTGAATTTGATTTTCTCAATCAAATGGACTCACAACCCAACACTCTACAACGTCCAGTGCAACAACAATTTAATCGCCAGCAACAACATCAGCAGCAAAAGCCACAACAGCAAACAATGCAACAACAATATATTGTCTCAGCTGCACAACAAATCCTGCAACCATATCATACACCACTGCCCACCCAACATCCAATGCCCTTACATCAATACCAACCGCAATTGTCTGTCACTGGTGGTAGTGGTGGTGCTGTTGGTGTTGCAACTGGTCGTCAGGCCGGTTCAATGCCAACAACACCAGAGGGAGGTATTAGTAGCAGTCAAGCAACGTTGTCAACGAATTTCGGCAATGCAACGCAAGCGAATAATAACAGTAAATATAATGTGGCGCCACATGTGACACGTCAAACTAGTCAAAGTAGTTTTAGACATCAGCAGCAGCAGCAGCAGCAGCAGCAGCAGCAACAAAACTACAATAATAATAACAATAATGCAGCGTTGGGCAATGTATACCATCGACCGGTGTTGGCTATGCCGCCGGTGGTGTTGATGGGCGGCGAAATGGGCGCCAACACTGATATGACGAGTCCGATAATTGAAATGCCGCCATCGCCGGCGCCGAGTTCAATGCCGATTGTCGAGTATCCGGATGACGACGAGTATGGCGTGGTGCAAGATGTCTCGGGCATAACGAGTTACAGCACCGATGCCGGTGATCGTTTCTGTGTTGAGGTTAGGATTTAAAAAAAAAATTTTGTGTTATATTTTTATGTTTCTCTTTTATGTTTGATTTTTGTGTTTATTTTTTGCACATATTTTATATGTTTAATTTTTGTTGCTTTCGTTTGTTTTTTCTAAGTTTATTGTATGTTTATTAATAGTTCACGGTGCTTTAGCGCACTTTTCATTGAAAATTTGTTAGACATGATTTTTTTTTTTTAATTTTTGACGGCATGTTGTTCAAGCGTTATAAAAGAATTCAAGTATTGAGAAAATTGGTACTTTTAACTTTTGTGCTCAATTTTTAAAATTAAATCACAAATATTTAAAATTTCTTAAAGTATTGGCTGCTGTTTGCTTATTTCTTCGTTTTATATTTTATGTTTTTTAGTTTTGTTTTGCTGCCTTGTTTGTTTTGTATATAAATTGATGTTTTTGATGTGTAATTTTTTTTTTTTTTTTTATAAAGATGTTTCAAGGTACCAAATATGGGCGCAAAAATTCTGCTGATAGTCAATTTGAAAAAAGAAAAATATAAGTCTTAATTTTTCTTATATTAATAATATTTTACTTGTTTGTCGCTGTAAATTACATAAACAATCACTCATGTTTTCACGTTTTTTAATTTAAACTGTAAATAATTTCCTGGTGTTTAATATCGTTAAAAAACACATTTCATATATAGTAAAACAAATTCAATGTAACGTACCCCATATAACTAGCGACCTAACTCCTTAAATTTGTTGCGTAAATTGTTTAAATATATGCACATATTTAATTGATTAAAACCCGTTAACCTGCACTTAGATATTATTAAAAAGAAAAAAATCAATAACATTTCATATAAATCACACGCCAGCGTTACTACTTTCACACAGTTTACTTTTGAAAATATTTGTATTTAGAAATTTTGTCAATTAATATTCATTAATATTTAAGACATAAAATATGTTGTATGTAATTTTCTGAATTCCGCAAGTTATACCAGATATTTGCGATACTGTTTAATCATCTTAATTATGGTTATTTGTAAAAACGATTTTTTTTTGAAGTCAAAGCTATAAAAAAAATCTAAATGAGTTTGTTATTAGAGTTGAGTCCTTCAAACTCTCATTCTATACTTATTCATTCAAGTAGTTTACACAAAAAAGTAAAATAAAATTAAATATAATATAAAAAATTAAATATACAATAAATTAAATTATTTTATAATAATAGAATATTTAGAAATATAAAATCAAAAACCCAAAATAAATGAAATAAAAAATAAAAGGAAAAATAAAAAATAAAAATAATTAATTCAAAGATCACACGAAACTAAAGAATAAAAAACTAAAAAAAATCAAATAACCAAATAAAAAAAAAAAAAAAAAAAAAAAAAAAAAAAAAAAAAAAAAAAAAAAAAAAAAAAAAAAAAAAAAAAAAAAAAAAAAAAAAAAAAAAAAAAAAAAAAAAAAAAAAAAAAAAAAAAAAAAAAAAAAAAAAAAAAAAAAAAAAAAAAAAAAAAAAAAAAAAAAAAAAAAAAAAAAAAAAAAAAAAAAAAAAAAAAAAAAAAAAAAAAAAAAAAAAAAAAAAAAAAAAAAAAAAAAAAAAAAAAAAAAAANAAAAAAAAAAAAAAAAAAAAAATAAAATAAAAAAAATAAAATAAATGAAACGAAAATAAAAAATAAAATAAATGAAATGAAAATAAAATAAATAAATAGAAAAAATAAAAAGTAAAATAAGGAATAAAATAAAAACAAACTAAAAAAATAAAAATAATATAAATAATATAATAATAATATAAAAAAAAAATGAAATATAAAAAATAGAATGAAAAACAAAAATTGAAATGAAAAATAGATAAATAAAATATATAATAAAAGATAGATAAATAAAGTGTAAATTATAAAATAAATAAATAAAATATAAAATTTATTAAAATTGAAATAAAAAATGAAAACATAAATATAAAAATAAATAAAAAAATTAATAAGAAAAATAAATAAGCAAAATAGGTAAAAAAATAAGTAGAAAAAAAAAATAAAAAAATAAGTAGAAAAAAAATTAAAAAAATAAGTAGAAAAAAAAATAAAAAAATAAGTAGAAAAAAAATAAAAAAATAAGTAGAAAAAAAATAAAAAAATAAGTAGGAAAAAAATAAAATAAATAAATATAAAAAAAAATAAAGTAAAATAATATATAAAAAATAAATAAATAAATAAAATATTATATTTAATAAAATATAAAAAATAAAATAAAGTAACAAAATATAACGAAATAATCAAATATAATAAAAAAAATGAAAAAAATAAATTAAACAAAAAAAATAGATCAAATAAATAACAAAAAATCAAATAAAATAATATTAATAAAAGTGAAACAATAATATAAATATATATAATAATAAATAAAAAAAGTGATATAATTGAATTACATAAAATGGAAAATTAAAATTATATAAACTAAAGTAATTAAATTAGACGCCAGCAAGACTAAGTACGAAGATAACCGAACAATAGATAAGCGCCTGATATTTATATTTAGCCCACAGATCTAAAGGGTATGGCATGGACGAGAGGTATGTATCTCTGAATCCGGCTTTTTTTTTAATCAGGCTTTTTTCCCCACTAAAAAAATCTTACCTACCAAGCTTAGTTCAGCTAATTAATGCTTTAAGTATTAATCAGTAAAGTGGAAGTGAAAATTAAATTCTATATAGCGATATCTGTGATACAATTTTTGACACAAAATTAGGTGCCACGTCTACCCATTTTTTACATCCACTTTCCATTGATGTGATTGTCTCTAACAGCTATGACTTTGAACATACATTTAGTTACTGTATTATCACGATTTTCGCACTATTCAAAATTGCCATTAAAAAGCGTGATGGGGTGATCTATAAATCAGTGAAAATCTATTTAAAATTTTCCATAGCGTTTTTTTATTTTTCGAAAGTTCAAATACGCCCATCTCTATATGTTTTTTAACTTAATACTGTCTGTTTATCTAAATATATATATGTACGAGTATGTTACATAAATATACCCACATATAAATTGTTATCGCCAAATACGTCACACTTAAGGTCATAACAACACCTACGCAGTGGCAATCAATGTTTTTCCATTATTTATGTGACCGTTAATTCAAAAATAGAAAAAAAAAAAAAAAAAAGTACTTTTACTCCTAATGTATATACTCATCAGTTGAGAAGGTGTTTAATAATCGCCAATATACAAAATCACTTGAGTATTCAGGTGCGAAAATGTGTCTTGTGGCTTTCCAATTTAAATTATAGCCAAACCTCCAATGTCAAATCAAATCAAGTCAAATTGTGGAAATCGGCATTTGCTTTTTATATAAAAATAATAAATATTCCTGATATTATTTTCATTTATTTTAAATATTCAACACCTTGTGACGACAATGAATGACTCGTTTTTGATGATCGCCGTGCGCGCCCACAACCGACTTGCGTAGCCAAACAACAAAACTGCAAGGCAGTTGTTCCCCTTTATAAAGACGAAATTATTATTTTTAAATATTTTAAAGCGACAATATTTGTTGTTGTGACAGTCTTTTCATCTTACATATATTCAATTAAGAAAGTAATTTTTTTTTGTATATAATTCATATTTTTAGGTTCGGTCTTTGCTCTATTTCTTGGTTTTCTTTCTTTCTTAAGATTCTTTGTTGTTATCGTTCCTATAACACGAAAGTTTTATAAATAAATAAAAATATTGTTTCTTTTGTGCTTTTCTTAAATACTCAGTGTGACCATAAATACAGTCATACACAAAATTAAGTATACAAACACCACTTTGTAATCCCTAAACTTTGTTCATTTTTGGTATAACCATAATTATCATTAATAATTTTGCTACAATTTTGAAATTCTCCACTGAGTCATACTTCGCAATTTTCATATTCAACATCTTTCGCGGTCACTTTATTTACTTGGTAAATATTTTTACCTCTTCAAAAAAATAAAAGATTGAAATAAATTAAAAACAAAATTATAATTTTTTAATTCCAAAAAGAAAAGAAAATCAAAAATTGAAATTAATATAAAATTGAAATAAAAATAAAAAACTACAATTAAGGAAATGAATATAAGATGCAAAAATTTAATTAAAAAAAATTAAATGAAATGAAACGAAACAAAAAATTTAAATTAAAAATATAAAATAATTAAAATAGTTAACAAAGTTAGATTAAAGAATTAAAAAAAAAAATAAAATTAAAAAAAAAATAAAATTAAAAAAAAAATAAAATTAAAAAAAAATAAAATTAAAAAAATAAAAAAAAATTAATAATTAAAAAATGTAATAAATAAAGAAATTAAATAATTAAAAAAATTTATAAATAAAAAAAATAAGTAAAGAAAGAAATTATGATAAATTAAAAGTAATTGATATTGGAAATAAATATAGCAAAATAAAATCAATTTAAACATGATAAAATATAAATAAATTATTATTGCATTAATATTATTATTATAAATTAGTACAATAAAATAAATTTACGAAGAAATAAAAGAAAAAGAAATAAAAGAAAAAGAAATAAAAGAAAAAGAAATAAAAGAAAAAGAAATAAAAGAAAAAGAAATAAAAGAAAAAGAAATAAGAGAAAAAGGAAAAAGAAAAAAATTCAAAAATAAAAAATAAAAAGCAATAAAAGAAAAAGAAATAAAAGAAAAAGAAATAAAAGAAAAAGAAATAAAAGAAAAAGAAATAAAAGAAAAAGAAATAAAAGAAAAAGAAATAAGAGAAAAAGGAAAAAGAAAAAAATTCAAAAATAAAAAATAAAAAGCAAAAAATTAAAAAATATAAAAATAAAAAAATTAAAAAGTACAAAATAAAAAGAAAAAAATTCAAAAGTAAAAAATAAAAAGTAAAATAGAAATAATAAAAAATCAAAAAAAAAAAAAAGAAATAAAAAAAATTAAAAAAAAAATTAAAAAAAATTAAAAAAAAAGTAAAAAAAAAAATTTAAAAAAAATTAAAAAAAATTAAGAAATTAAAAAGTAAAAATATTAAAAATTTTAAAAAATTAAAAAAAAAATAAAAAAATAAAAAATAGAAGATAAAACAAAAATAGTGAAATAATGAAATCAAATAAAATTAAAGAAAATGAATTAAAAAAATACATAAGTTGATACAAAAAGGCAAAGAACCAGCGAAAAAGAAAGAAAGCGAGTTAAGTCAAATTTAGGACCATGTTTAAAAGAGAAAACAAAACCATTGGGCATAAGAAAGAATTTTTCGATTTTTTTTGTACAATACTGTAGGCACACTTGGTACACATGATAATTACCGCCACCACTTTATGACGGACGCTCTTCTTCAACAGCGCTGAGTGAGCATCCAAATATTTAACCTGCTGCAGTCATAATTTTACTGTCACCACTAAGCTTTGATGGGGCAGAGTGGGAAGAAGGGTAGAAAAGGACCGATCGAACGCGATTGATGGCGACGCAGTGCTGACTTTTGCGGTGTTGTTTTAGTGTTTCACGATCACGGTCGTCAACGGTACTACACAAAGAGAAGTTCTTGCGAAGCGCTCGCGTTCGTGTGTTAAATAATCTGCATCATTTTGCTTCGTAAAAAAAGCAAAAATTATTTTATAGTATATATAATCTTTACATACATTTAGGCGAAGCAGTTGATAATTTTTTTTTCATTTCTTTTTTTTTTTTGCGTTTTACTTTCGTCGGTCATCTCTCTTGTCAATGCGGCGTTTTTAATGTTTCACATGAGGAAATGTTGCCAACATTTCAATTAGTTGCAAGTGTCATTAAGCAACTTTGTACCTCTCAACTGCAACAATATCAAAATAGTTCCAAAACAAATAATAATAAATTATTGAATTTCAAACGTTCCACTTTATCATCGGCTGCGGCGCTGCTCTGTCCAACACTCTACGCAGCTAGTGCTCCACCAGCATTATTGCAGTCAACTGTAGTAGGTGGTGCTTGGTAATAATTTCTTTAATTGTTACTTTTTATGAACTTTGAATGCTAGATTAAAAGTAAAAAGAAAATAAAAAAAATTGAAAAAATTCTGAGTAATCTTCATATGAAATGCTAATCTTAGGAAAAATAAAAATAAAAACAGTCCTGGGTATTCTCCGTAAAAAATGCTAATTTTCGTAGAAAATTAAATGTAGATCAGTGTTTTTTGTTTTAATTTTTAAAATTATTCTGTACTATCTAACTTTTTTTTTATTTTTTTTTTTTTGTTTTACTATATTTTATTTCTGGGTATTCTACGAAAAAAAGTGCTAATTTTCGTAAAAATGTTTTTTCATTGTGAAATGTAGTTCAGTGTTTTTTGTTTTAATTTTTTGAAATTTGTTCTGAACATTCTAATTTTTTAATTTTTTTTTTTAAATTTTAATTGTTTAATATTTTAAATTTTTTTTTCTTTTTTTTTTTTGTTTTATATATTAATATTTTCAAAGTTTTAAATTTTTTTCGATTTTTTTTTTAATTCTTAGTTTACTTTTAATTTTTAATATTTTTTTTGTAATTATATTTAAAGCTTTTAAATTGAAACTCTTTTCCGCAAAGATAAATTTTTTGAATAATAAATCTTTTAGATGTATTTTCGTTTATTCCAAACATCACATTTCCTACTGCGCACCCATTTTACGTAAAAATATACATACACGTACGTCCGTTTATTCACTGTGTGTTGTTGTGTGAATTTTTCTTAAATATTTATACATATTTATGTTCATTTGTTTTCTGTTCTGTGTAAGTTTGTGTTTGTCTGTATGTGCTCACGAAAAAAAAACCAAAGTTTTGTTTGTTTTGTTGTACATCTTCGCATATTTCATGCAAATTTTAACATCAACAACAACAACAATAACAATCACAATGAAATAGAAAATAATAAGAAAGATCATTTTCTTCACTTTCTTTAATTTCTATTTCGCCGCTGTTGTTGTTTGTACTCTCTTGTCTTCTTCTGTGTATATATTTATACCTACCATTCGCAGGCGCAACTCAATGTTGTACACGTACAATTTGAGCCTTTAGCAACTATATTTCCTACAACAACAATAACAACAATAGCAACAACAACAACAAAAGCGTCAACAACAACACCACCAACAAGACCAACTAAATACAGAACAAGCTTACACATTGGCGATAAAGAAGAAGATATTGTTATTTCACCAACCACAACACCGTCAGCCAGATCGGCAGCACTCACTGAAACTGAGGTTGAAAGTGAAATCCAACTCGAAACGAAAAGTATACGTGAATATGTTGAAGCGAAGAGAAATATATTCTCACCTCACTTTGCCTTGGAAGAAGCATACCAGGAGTGTTTGAGAGAAATTGATAAATTAGAAACGGAAAATATATACCAGGAGTGTTTGGAAGAAATTGATAAATTAGAAGCGAAAAATAAATACCTGGACGGTTTGGGAGAAATTGATAAATTAGAAACGGAAAATATATACCAGGAGTGTTTGAGAGATATTGATAAATTAGAAACGGAAAGAATATATGCAAACTCCTCGGCGCAGGTAAAGTGCTTGAAAAGCAAAAGAAAAAAAAAAAACAATATTAAGAAAAACGAACGAAGTGTAAAGAAAAGTTTGATTAGTGAATTGTCTCCTTTAAAGTTTACCCATTTTTACTATTATTTTACTATGTGGGCCGATAGTATTTCAATACGTTAATCCATACTTGTTGCGGGTACCTCCTAGTGCTGACTGTTGCTCACTCAATTCCGTTCATTTCAACATGTGCGTTTTTTACTTGTTAAGAAGAAGAAAACTCGGTTATTGGTATCGCAGTAAATTCAGATATTTATGTTCTTTGCTCAATAAGGTTTAGTAAAAAAATTCAAAAAAAATATAGTGTTTAGTAGTAATACTTGGTGAATATCCTAAGAAATTCCAAGAGATCTTCCTTTAGCAAAACTTTTTATTCGTCCATAGAAGTTTTTTGAATCTTGTAAAAAACTAAAATGGTGGTGTACTCAAAATAAAGTTAAAAATATTTAAGTAGAGTGTTAATAGACAGACATACAGCCTTGGCCAAAAGTATTAGGCACCCCACTAATTACTGAATTTTTTGTTTTGACAACTGAAGTAGTGAAGTTTTATAATTAAAACAGTGAAAGTGCAATGAGTTAGTGATAATAACATTAATATTTAGCAGATCCACCCTTCACCAATTCTCTTAGGCGCACTGCGTACAAGCTTTGCACATTCGTCCGCACTTATAGCGTACCACTCGTTAATTAAGGCAGCTTTTGATGGGGAACCCAGTATAAGTTCCTTAATCTTGCGTATTGAAATAGCGCACATGTGCTCAATGAGATTAAGATCTGGAGACTGTGCAGGCCAATCCAGCAAAACAATGTTGTTATCTCTAAACGTAGTCTCGTAGTCGCTGATTTGTGACAAGGAGCATTGTCTTGCTGAAATTGAACCCCGTCTAAATTTGTATCGCCGAAAATGCGCGTTGACGAAGGCAGAAGAACAGCTTCTAATACATTTATGTACTTTTGACTGTCCATGCGACCCTCGAAAACCAACATTTCGCCGACACCATCAGCAGCCATGTCGCCCCAGATCATAATGATGCCTCCTCCATGCTTAACAGTGGGTACCACGCAATCTGGATGATATTCTTCCCCAACCCGTCGCCATACGAATGTCACACCAGGTGTTCCAAATATCTGTAGAAAAGAAAAAAAATATGTTTTCATAAGATTTGTATTACACTTTCACTTTCAAATTTTAAATGCGAAAATATTTTATGAATTTCTTAAAAATGACAATTTTTATATAATATTTAGTTTACCCAGAGTGATATGACTTTTAATATTACACAATTTATTCGTTTAATCAACAGTTAAACACCCATATAAGACATTTGAAAAAAGAAGTGGTAACTGTGATAGCCACACTTGAGAATACTTGTATTTTAGTGGGGTGCCTAATACTTTTGGCCAAGGCTGTATATCTTGAAACCTAAGTAGCACTGCAGTTGTCATTTTCACGATATCCAGGTTCAAATGAATGTTTAAAAATAAAATAAATTTAACCCATAAAGTGAAGAGTGTCCCAAAACTAACCCAAGATTGGAATTAAATAGAAAATAAGGCTTTTATTCTTTCGATTGTGATTTTTTTTATTGAGTTATAAATTACATAGGATGGGAATAACACATCGGGCGAATGACATTCACGGCTTTCCGTACACATACGCACTCGTTTGTCGAAATTTTCCATGACTATTCTGCATAAATGTAGCTGAATTTCATTGCTGCAACGTTGAGTCAACTCTTTCAAGCACGCTCGGTTATTGGCTTGTTGCAGTAGACCTTTGATTTTAAATAACCCCATTAAAAGGAACCTAATGGTGTTAAATCACACAATGAAGTTGGCCCAATTCTGAAATGGAAATGTCTTGGAAATGTTTCAAGTAGTAATGAAGTGTTTAGCGGGCTGTACGATATATCACTGCCTACAGCTCAAAAGCCACACGAAGCGTTGAAAATTAGCCGTGAGTTCCCTGGACACCAAAAGCCAAAACCCCCAAATTTTAGCGATTAACAAACCCATTAAAATGAAAATATGTATCATAGGTTAACAAGATTTTGCTCGAAAAATCTGGAAAAATTTGTTGATGCTCAATAATCCATTCAACAAACTCTGTTCACTGTGTATGGGCATCAGGCTACTGTTGTTGTGTTAATTGAATTTTATAAGCATGGAGAAACAGAGCTGCATGCACTGTAGAGAGCTTCTTGAAATCTGCAATCCTTGTCCAAGACGCCAAATTGAGTTTCCTGCATTGTCACCGATACTCTCATGTACTGCTTCCATATTCTCACTTGAATGACTTGTTTTTGAACGACCAGTGCGCTTGGCGTCCTCAAGAGATCCTGTCTCTTGGAATTTTTGCAATTAATCTCTTCAAAGCTAACGAAGTTAAAACACTATTCCGCTCCAATCTTACTAAGCCTAAACTGTCAGCTGTCGATTTGTTATTTATGGTTGTCAACACTAAACACTAGATAAATGACGGCAAATTGATGACCATGCTTTAGCCGTAACGAACGTGCCAAACGACGGACAGCCAAAAAAATTTCATGGCGATTAAAATAATTTTTTCACAATAAAGTCTTAATTTTCGAAAAAAAACGCATTAATTATTGCATACACCTAATATGATATATGGGCTATAAAAAACATTGAGCCGAACAGGGTAAACATGCATTTTTTATCTTTTAAATTCGCTTTATTCGACAAGGTACTCCACTTTCGTAGCACAATTTATCTTTTGACATAAAATGAGCCTCAGTTACAGTGAAAATCACTTTTTTCTTATCGGTGAGCACTTACTTGTTTTGAGATCTGTAGACTGCCAGTGGTCACTGGGAGCCAAATCTGGTGAATACGGTATACGAGGGAACAATGCGAGGCGCAATTTGTTCAGCTTTTTCTTTATTTACATTGATTTTTGATGATCAATGACTTTTTAGATTTTCGAGAAAAAAGTTGGATTCTTTTTTTCATCATTTTGCCACATATCAGCAGAAAATTTTCAATTTTACCGCCTCATTTCAACGTCCACACTGCATTCTGTTTCATCGGTGTCTCTACGATTTGAGCAGAGTCCTTACAACACTTCGCTATAACCTCATTTTGCTCTACTCATTTTTTAATAACAAAAATAGTGTCATGCTTAGCACATTAGCTGACAAATTTACGGTTCTAATATCCAAAAATTTTAGCAGCCAGCTGAAAAAGCGGTGAATACAAAAAAAACCGTCATCTACTATATGTAAGCCCCGAGACTTTTCAATGCATTTACTAAATATTTGGAGTGGAGCCATATTTCGCAAATTAACCCTTTAATTCGAATTAAGGAACTCCACTTACTTGATTTTCCTCAACAGCTAGATTTTCGTGATGTGACCGCTGGGCCGATTTTTCGGCCGAGCTCTTCCTCCAATTTGTAGTTTTGCGTCTTGATGATTTTCAAATGGAAGGACCTACAATTTCTACTAAGCCGCCTTCGAACGGCTGATGGGTTTTCTACGAGGAGCCTTCCTTTCATGTCCGAAATACATTCGGAGGGGTGGACATTGCCTGCCGAGGCGCGACCGTATTTTGAAAATTTAAGTTAATTTTTTATTTAAATTAATTTTCCATAACTTTTGGATGTTGGTGGCACCGGGATACGAGCCCAAGTCTTAGGAATGTCAGTACGCAACGCTAACCACTCGGCTACAGCGGACGCCTATATTACAATAATAAGATGTGGAGAGCCTCCGCAAGACACTAACCATCTCTTCACTTGCCTCCTTAAGCCGACTCATCTAACCCCCCTCTCCCTTTGGTCCTATTCCGTCGAAACAGCTCGTTTCCTGGACCTCCCGCTAGATGACCTCGGCGATTTAGGTTGTTAAGACCTGTACCTAAGCGGAGTTAACGAACCACTACAACAACAACAACAACAGCACAATAAGATAAATATATAAATAAAATGAACTAAGTCCTAAACAATTTCCCTTGCCTTGAAATGTGTGTGTGTGTTTTTTTTTGGGTAGCTTCAAAGTGAAGTGAAGCCGGAAAAAAATCATTAGGTCTCACTCACTTTTCTGATTGATTTTTTCTCGTATTTTCTGAGACCTCCTGCAAAACCAAAGGTCCGTAATTCAAAATTCCGCTAATGCAGTCTTCAAGTTTTCATAAACGGCTTCATCTATGTATAGTATTATTTTAGAGATTCTCTACCAATGTTAAAAGAGTTGCGCTATATTGGCTATATTATGGTCTGTAGATTGCTTTCGTTAGCCTGTGCCGACGCTATTTCAATGAAATTCTGAAAGAATAAACCATCATGTGTAGTATAATATCAGGGAAACAGCATATCTGCCATATTCCGAAAAGGAACTGTCGCTGTAATGTGTTTACAATAGGACAAAAACAAAACACGCGCAAAAAGTCCTGCTGAAGAAGAATTGAGAGAGGTAGTCCAAGGATTAATCAAAGTGCTTTGTCCAATCTTGAAAAATTTTCTTCGAGTGAAGTAAAAATAGTTCTAAATGAAAAACAAAATGAAAAAAAGCAAAAAATAAATTGAGGTTAGGTTAGGTTAGGTTGCATTGGTCGTAAGCTAATTTAGATCACCATTGCAATAGCACTGTGGATCCTATTGATCCCCATACTTAAGTCAAATAAATGCTTTTTGTTCGAAAACATTCTGGAGGGTAGTTTTCATCTCTTTAATATGGTTGGAAAGTCATGTAGGTGATATATTATCGGTGTTTTCTATGACAAAAATACAATGTGGTGGAGGGTTATTTTTAATTTTCTTTAGCCACGCACCTTTTGCAATTAGTAAGAAAAGTACCATTTTCTTTTTACAATAGAAATCAAAACTCACACCGAGAGCCAAATAAATTTATGTAAAATTAATATCAAAAGTTGAATAATTTGCCAATGTAAAAAACACTGCCTCGCTTTATACACTCAATAATTACAAGCTTTAAATGTTTAAAAAATACTGATGTCACAATAATTGCAATTTGTGGAAAGCTTTTTATTTAACTGTGTTTTGATGGAGAAAAACTTGCATATAAATAAGCTTTATAAGCTTCGTTGTTGTTTTAAATGTTTTTTAATTTTTATTTTTAAAATCTTTCTTTTTTAACAAATAACCAGCAATGCAATGAAAAATTAAATAAACACAAGCTTTAGGGAATTTCCACGAAGTTTAGAGTTTTTATGCAACGAAATTTAAAATATATATATTTATAATACCTACATACATACATAATATACATAATACTAATATGGCTTTGTTTCTTTCGCTAGATTATACCACAATTCAGTAATTTATCAGTCAACAGCAACAATAATCAACAACAACAGCAGCAGCAGCAACAAACTCAGCAACAACAAAAACAATATGTACCCGAATCACCAATCATACAAGAGCCACCAACACCCACAGTTTATGGGCAAGCTGCCGTACAACCACCACATTTCCCACAAGCAGCCCAGCGTCAAAGCTACGCAACACCAGCTGCGGCAGCTTATCAACAGCAGCCGCAACAACAACAGCAACAACCGATTTACCAGAATCAATATGAACTCAATGCCGGCCCAATGCCGCCACCACCCGCACCAACAGCGGCTGGCGGCGGCGGACGTCGTAATGTTGCGCGTGGCCTACAATATCGTGACTCGGCTTACGAGTCACGCCGCCAATCGCAAGCGATCGGTGGTGGCAATATGCCACAAGGTATGTTGGCCATTGAGAACTTCCGGCTGTTGAGTGTTTTAGGTCGTGGCCACTTTGGCAAGGTCATTCTATCGCAATTGCGCAGCAATAACCAATACTATGCCATAAAGGCGTTGAAAAAAGGCGATATCATAGCACGTGACGAGGTGGAATCGTTGTTGAGTGAGAAGCGCATTTTCGAGGTCGCCAATGCAATGCGTCATCCGTTTCTGGTCAATTTGTATGCGTGTTTCCAGACTGATGTAAGTTGTTTATTTTTTTTCCTGTTTTTTTGCTTTTTTTGAACTTGAATTTTATTATTTGATTTGATTGGTTGTCGTCTTTGCACTTAAGTAGCCGTGCGTTTTAACATGTTCTTCTTCTTCTTTGTTTTCTTTTGTGCAGCAACATGTTTGCTTTGTTATGGAGTACGCGGCCGGTGGCGATCTGATGATGCACATACATACCGATGTATTTTCCGAGCCACGCGCTGTCTTCTACGCCGCCTGCGTAGTTTTAGGGCTACAGTATTTACATGAGAATAAAATTATTTATCGTGATTTGAAACTGGATAATCTACTTCTGGATACCGATGGTAAGCGGCTCACGTGCTGACTGCAGCTACACATCTTAAATTAATTATCCATATGCCTTATTGTTATAATTTTTGTATTAAATCGCTCAGGTTATGTGAAAATTGCTGATTTTGGTTTGTGCAAGGAGGGCATGGGCTTTGGCGATCGCACGGGCACTTTCTGTGGCACACCAGAATTTTTGGCGCCCGAAGTGCTCACTGAAACTTCATATACCCGCGCTGTCGACTGGTGGGGCTTGGGCGTGTTGATATTCGAAATGCTGGTTGGCGAGGTGAGTGGATGCGAAGAAAAAGAAACTATAAATACAAAAAAATATATATATATATAAATAAAAAAATATTAATATGACACATATATAAAAAATTAAATAAAAATTAATATCTAAAAAAAGTTAAAAAAAAAAAAATCAAATATATGTAGAAATTACAAACAAAAAAGCACTAATGTATGTATGTATATACAAAAATATGTAAAATAAAATAATTAAATATAATAACAAATAATATTAAAAGAATAAAATCATAATAATAAATAATATAAAAAGAATAAAACTATTAAAATAATAAATAATAGAAAAAAATCGAAAATGATAAAATGAAAAATTAAAATAAAAAAATAAAATAAAAAATAACAAAATTAAAAAATTAAAAACTAAAATAAAAAAATTGAAAATTAATAATTAAAAAAAGTAAAAATTAAAAAAATAAATTTAGAAAAATTTTAATAAAAAAATAAAATAAAAAAATAAAATAAATAAAAATAAAAAAAATAAAATAAATAAAAATAAAAAAATAAAATAAATAAAANAAAATAAAAATAAAAAAAAATAAAATAAATAAAAATAAAAAAAATAAAATAAATAAAAATAAAAAAATAAAATAAATAAACATAAAAAAAATAAAATAAATAAAAATAAAAAAAAAAATAAAAAATAAAAAAAAAATAAAAAAAAAATAATAAAATAAAAAACTAAAAAGTAAAATAATAAAATAAAATAATTAAAAATTGAATTAAATAAAAATAAAAAAGTAAAATTATAATATAAAATTAAAATTAAGAAAATAAGTTAACATAATCAAAACAAAAATATATGAAAATAATAAAAATATAAAGAATATAAAAAATAAATATAAAAAAATTAAAAAAAATATTAAGATTGTAAATATAAAAATTATATATATACAAAAGTATATACTTACGTACATATACATATATACATGTATATAAAGAACAGAAGTATATGTAAGGTAAGTTGAAGGGAAGGAAATATATATAAATATAACACTTTATAAATCAATATAAAAAATAAAATAAAATATAATAATAAAGAAAAATTTAATACATGAAAAATAAAATATGATACATAAAAAATAAAATATAATACATAAAAAAGTAAATATAATACATAAAAATATAAATTAAATACATTACATAAAAAATACATAAAAAGTAAAAAATAAAAAAATACATAAAAAGTAAAAAATAAAAAATACATAAAAAGTAAAAAATAAAAAAATACATAAAAAGTAAAAAATAAAAAAATACATAAAAAGTAAAAAATACATAAAAAGTAAAAAATAAAAAGTAAAAAATAAAAAAAAAAATAAAATAAAAAAATAAAAATAAAATAAAAAAATAAAAATAAAATAAAAAAATAAAAATAAAATAAAAAAATAAAAATAAAATAAAAATAAAATAAAAAATAAAAATAATAATAAAATTAAATAAGAATAAAATAAATAAAAGTAATAGATAAAAATAAAATAAAATAAAAACAAATAAAAAAATTAAAAAATTAAAAAAAAAAATAAAAAAAAAATAAATAAAAAATAAAATAATAAAAATAAATAAAAAATAAAATAAAAAATAAAACATAAAAAAATAATAAAATAAAAATAATAATAAAATTAAATAATAATAAAATAAATAAAAATAATAAAACAAATAAAATTAATAGAAATAAAATAAAAACAAATTAAAAAATTAAAAAATTTAAAAAAAAAAATTAAAAAACTAAAAATAAAAAAAAAAAATAAAAAAAAAAATTAAAAAACTAAAAATAAATAAAAAATAAAAAAAAAAATAAAAAATAAAAAACTATAAATATAAATTATAAATTGTTGGCTTCCCACTTCAGAGAGGAAAAATGTAACATAAAGGGATTGCCATAGTGTATTCGACAATTACAATACAACTCTCACACTGATACTATGCTTATAGTATATTAATGCTAACTTCATACTAGTGCGAAGTATATATGAATTAGAAATATAAAAATGACATCTAAAAAATAAAATAAAAATATTAAAAAATATAAATAAAAAAAGAGATATATGGTAAATGTTTAAAATTCATTTTTCCACAGTCACCCTTCCCCGGCGATGATGAGGAAGAAGTTTTTGATTCAATTGTTAACGACGAAGTGCGCTATCCGCGATTTTTGTCCTTGGAGGCAATTGCTATTATGCGAAGGGTAATTTTGTTTTATTTTATTATCCACTATTTTCTTTTTTTTAACAAAAAAAATATTTCACTTCGAAATTTTTTTTTAGTTATTGCGCAAGAATCCAGAACGTCGTTTGGGCTCGTCGGAACGCGATGCTGAAGATGTTAAGAAGCAAGCCTTCTTCCGTTCAATTAGTTGGGATGATCTGTTGTTGCGCAAAGTGAAACCACCATTTGTGCCTACAATTGTAAGTAACTGCAAAAATAATTTTTTTTTATGGCTTATTGTTTTCTTTCCAAAAGAATAGTGGCAATTTTGGGAATCAATTTTTTTTATATAATGAATAAGGAGGGCTGAAAAAATATACCGAGGAGCTAACTACCTCATTAAGTTCTCCGACCTGTATTCGACTGCAGAACAAAAGAAACGTAACAACAAAGCGTAGTCCCAATGTACGAAATATCTCCATTCCCTGTACTGAAGTCCCACCTCCGAACCGCTAATAGATTTTTATGAAGGGTTTTTTTCATGCCGGATATACACTCAGAGGAGCTAGTATTCTCTGCCTCATGGCGACCGAAATTAAATTCTAATTTTGTATCATATGTTGATTAACTACTCGTTGATAATTATCGAAAGAATTTCAAGATCAAACTACCAAACTGAGTAAATTTAAACACGACGACCGGCTCTATGGTTTCCCCTACGTACTCATTTTTAATTTCTATCTTTCACAACACCTTTCACCAATCTTAGAAGTATCCTTAATTGCTAGGGAAGTCTTTTCACATTGGTGTTTTTGTTGTTGGTTCACTGCGAAGGATTTAATGCAATTTACCTGGATGAGGTGTTGTTCAGTGGATGTACTTAGATCAAATTTATATGTTGACCAAACGGTCAATGGCCGAAGGAAATACCTCTGCAAGTAGCTGCTTGCACAGGCTCATTGCAGCGATTTCTAGCATCGCTGCTGGACGCAACGTGTTACAGGGAGCCCTTGGTCGATCCTCATGGTGTTATTGTTATTGTAGCGCTTTGTCAATCTCGCTTAAGTCATCGAGGCCTTCTAACGGGTGGCCTAGGAAACGAGCGGCTTCGATGGGTTCAGAGGAGTTGGTTTTAGGGTGCGTGTCATGTGGGGACTCGTTGCAAACAGGACATACGTTAGGTTTATCAATATCAAGTCTAGATAAATAGGAATTCAATCTGCCGCAATATGCAGATCTAAGTTGTGCTAGCATTACTCAGAACTCTCGAGGCCAGCTCGAGCTTTTCAACTGCAAAATGATCATTCGTCATTGATGATGACGGATTATCGGTGAATGGCTTTTGATGTCTGTCGGTAAGCCCTCCTATCCAGCGGTTGTTGTAGGTGGAGTTGAATGTAGTACTTAAGGTCAAGCATTCCGTTGCCTGAGTGGTGGTACAGCTTCTAATAAATGTATGTTGGGGTATTCCCTGCGGTAGCATCTCTGCATATATTGCATCACAGCAAAACTTTAACTCACAGTGAGAATGATATTCTGGGAACTCACGATCCTGGGCTTGTAGCTTCTTCATCTGCACCTTGCTGCTTCCCGGCGCCCAGATTGGTTGCAACATAGTTTACGATCGATAAACATATAGCTTGCCGTTATTGGTAACCAACCGCACTTAGTGTAGGCGAGGAGATCGAGTTGTCACACGAGGCCAGATTATGCCTTAACTGGAATCTAAATCGAACATGCCCAGCCATGATAGTAATGAAATCGGCTTGAATTTAATATTTTTAACATTATTAGGCTTAGTTTATTATAATTTTTTTTCTGTCATATAATTAAAAAAAAAATATGAAAACTCAAACTTGTCTTCTTCCACAGAACCATCTTGAGGACGTATCCAACTTTGATGAGGAATTCACATCGGAGAAACCACAATTAACACCACCAAAGGAGCCAAGGCATTTGACTGATGAAGAGCAAATGTTCTTCCATGATTTTACCTACACCGCCGATTGGTGTTGATGAACTAGCGCAGCTAAAATAATGATATGAAAAGAAGAAGAGGAAGAAACATAACTCATAGCTGGTATTGCTGTTGCGACTATAGAGCAAAAGTAAAAAAAAAATATTCAATATATAAAGGATGTGCCAGCACTCCAATTGATTGCCTTTTCAGTTCATGGTATTGGACATAGCAGTTTCGCCTTTCATGCTCGTCATCGTTCGGACACATATTTATAAATTAAAAATATACGATTTTGTAAAAAGATTTTTTTCTATTTAATTTTTTTTTTTGCTCTAACTGTTTAAAAAAATATTATTGTGTATAAGTTTAAGTAAACAAGGAAAATATTTCATGATGTATAAAGGTTATAAGTATGCAGTGCCGCAGAGTTTGAAAATAAAACAAAAACAAACCATTATGCATTATTACATAATTAGAAATGAAGCATGTTATTTAAGTGAATATTTATAATAAAATTTATACATATAAAATACATAATATACATACTTATGCATGTACGTGAATATACAAGAGTGGCAAAACGCAAAATTAAAATTAATAATATTAATTTATGCCACGTTTATTACATTATTAATAAGAAAATATAAAGTTATTATTTTTAATTTATAAAAAAAAGTATACATTTCTTAGACGTTTTGCTCTGAACGTAAAAATACATATGAATTGGAATCATATTAAAATTAAACAAATTAAAAAAAGAAGAACGTGAAAAAGTTAAACACATCAACCTAAAATACAGTAATTATGTGAAGTGAATTATTTTTAAAAATGTTTGTAAACATACCTACTATATGCGTACATACATGTAAACAACTAATAAAGCAGCTATTTTTTAATAAATATCTACTGGTTTTGTAAAAAATTTATAGAAAAAAAGTGAAATAACTTTTCTTTTGCCAAAAATTGCTAGTAAAAAATTATAATGCATTTTAAAGAAGAAAAAAAAAACTTTTAGAAAACTAAACTTTTATGCAAGTAGTTATTTAGTGGAAACAGAGAGAAATTTTGTATAATATTTTGCGAAAAAAAGATGAAATGAAAATGAAATGTTTGCATGCCTTTAGTCTAAGCGATTTTTAGATTAAGTAAATTGTTATTGATTTTTGAGCTCATACATACGTGCAAGCGGAATAATTTTAACATTACATTTTTTTTTCTAATATAAAATTGACTGCAAGTGCGATTTTAAAGTTAACAGAAATATTAAAAAAAAAATAAAAAACACATAGATTGTTCATTAGAAAAGGTTCGGTCAGCTAAATAACAACAAGAAATATTTTTAAAATGTATTAATTTTTAATAAAAAGTTTTAAATACATACATACATATATACACTAATGCAAGCATACATATAAACAAGCAATATATTAAGTGAGAGTACATTTATGTGCACACTTGCTGAGATACATACATACATATTATATTATATATACAGAATAGGAACAGGTGAAAGTGTAGTCCATGCAAATAAATAAAACTGGAAATGCAAAGGACCAGAACCTTTCAGAGTCTAGAGCCCTAAAACATATTAACGTGAGTTTATCTATACAAGAAGGCAGAGTTTAAACAGTTTGAAAATAAATAAAGATAAAAATTAAATAAACAAATAGAAACAATGTTGCTCAAAAAGTAAATAGGAGTAAGTAAAACAAAATGAAGAGAAAAAATAAAAATATTTTTTTTCCATAATGTGGCATACAAATTTTTCTCAATCATAAAATCATTTAAGTGAAAATAATTGAAAAACAAGCAACATAAAAGCGAATAATAAAACACATTTGAAATTCCTTCGAAAAATATTGAAAAATTATCTACTTTTAATTGAGTACCGGCAAAATTTTGAATAACTGTAAAGATATATATATATATATATTATATACACACACATACATACACATATAGGAAGTTCATTGAAGTTGGAAAGAGCTAAGAAAAAAAAATATGAATGGAAATCACTACATGTTTTAAGCAAAATTCAATATAATTTTCTTTACACATACATACATAGATGCATACATACAACAATATCAATATCATCCTTATTATAATTACAAACTCTATTTGTACTTGCACTAATTATAATTATAATTATTGTTTATACCTACATACATATACGTAGATATGTATACATATTATATAACTTTCCCTATTAGTTATTACTTTTTTTTTAATACTTTTAGTTTGATATTTTAATTATGTCTAAAATTAACTATCAAATTAAAAAATAATAATTTCAATTAAAAATAATACATAATAATTTCTTTGAATTTCTTTCTTATTTTTATTGAGAATTTGAATTGTTTGTTCGTCGTGTATTCAAAGTGCATTACTCGAAGGCAATTAACATTAATTAAGTGAGGTTATGTTCAAGTGACGCTTTGTGGACAGTATTTTTGGCAACGTAAATCAACCTGAAAGCCGTAGCAGGAGAAGCAATTGAAAATGAGTAATGTGGGCGTATGGTTTTTCAGAAATAAACTGGCGCATCGGTAAAACTAAACTCACTTCCTCTGCAAATGATCGCCAAAATAAAATATCTCTTTGAATAATAAGCAATATGATGTAGAAAAAGGCAAAACTGGTGTCTTCATGTCGATGTTGATATCCAGATTAATTAATCGACGGGTTCAGACCAAAGGGAGAGGGGAGTTAGATGTGTCAGTTTAAGGGGGCATGTGAAGTGGTGGTTAGTGTCGTGCCGGGGACTCGTTTCATGCAGTATGTCAGGGTAGGTTAGCGTCGAGTCTGGATAAGCATTAGTTTAATTTGCTACAATATTCAGACCTAAATTGTGCCAGTAGCACGCGGGTCTCTCGAGGCAGCTCTGGCTCGTGGTAGGCAATATATATTTTTTTCTGATGTTGTGGGGAGCTCCGTGAGACCGTAAAGGTCTGTAGGTTACCCAAAGTGGGTAGAGGTGCTGAAGGCACTGCCATGGAGGCTGCACTTGGGGCTACGTAACTTGTAGACCACAGCCGGTGGACCTTGAGGCCTAAAAAGATCTTAAGATGAGGTGCGACCATTGGTTGGTGGTGGAGTCTTTTATGGCACATGCAGCAGATCAGTGTTGGTTTCGACGCCAGCCTTGGTGAGAAGGATTTGGAGCAGCTGTGACGTGTTGCTACGTTGGTGTACTTAAATTAATGTTACCTCTACTTACTCTAGGCGTGGTTTGGTCGCCGAAAGGGTGACAGCTCTGGGTCGGATAAAATCCGGGTTAACTCTGCTGAGTTGAGCCGGATGTTTTGAGGGTTGCTAGTCTATGTCGTCGTTATTAATGGTTATTGACACGTTTCTCCAACAAGGCTTTTGGGAACAGGCAAAAAGTCTATGGCGCCCCAGTCATCAAAGGGGAGGCCCAAGGAACCAGCAGTTTCGAAGGTTTCAAACGAGAGGGAAATTTATTTTAGAAAAGTTGGTTTTAGTGGTCATGCGGCAACTCATTGCATATAGAAATACGTTGAATTGTAGTTTTTGCAGAATGTTGCGGGTGTGACAGTCCTTGGCCGGATAAAAATTCGGGTCATTTCGGTATAGAGCCAACTATCGCGGGAACTTTTGGATTTATGTCGCCTCTTACGACAACCACGTCTCGCCGAGGGAGCATTCTTGAATCCCCACCCCGCAGTGTAGACCCAGTATTACGCGGGTCGCGGCCGTAATAAGAAAGTGGTTATCATTGTCGATTAACATTCGAATGGCCAGAGCTTGAGTACTGGTTCGATCAACACACAAAAATTATAGAAAACTAATTTGTCTAATTGCAGTCGTTCCTCGGCAGGGAATGTTAGCACCTACGATTGTAATTTTGTTATTAAAAAAAAGACTCCTCATAAAAATCCATCAACCGTTATATAGAATTTACTGTAGATTGCTACATTTGTCGGAAAAACATCACGACTCAAAACCACAAACTGGAGGATGAGTTCGGCCGAAAAATCGTCTCCAAAACTCAAAAATCGCCAATATATATTTACATACATATACTCATATCGCAGCTCATGCCTTGGGCTCGCTATTGGTATGTCGTTGTAGTTGCTGTTGTTGTAACAGCTTTTCCAACACCGCTTAGCGACAGGATAGGTAATCTAAGTATTCAAGGTAATCTAACCTGGACCTCGCGGAAACGAGCTGTTTCGATGGGTTCTGCTCAACGGGAGAAGTCAAAAGGTTGCGGTCCAAAGGGCGATGTTTTGGCAGGCCTGTAACTTTTACAACTGCGTCTCGTTTGTGCCCGATGCCCAGATCGGTGCAGCTTAGTTTACGATCCAGCCGGCCAATTGATTTGTACGTTGTCAGTAAAGCTTCTTAATTTTTTCCCCAGGTGTTGCCGGCTAGCGCTTTGAGGAGGGCAGGCTGTCGAATAGGACTCCCAGTAATTTTTGGATGTTTGTAGCCGGAATTTTGAAGCCATCGACTTTCACATCGAGTTCGAGCCCATACCCCTTCGTCGCGTAGCCGAGGATTTTGTCGGTTGTCTTTGTAATTGCCTTGCAGTGAACATAGGTCATTAATATGCTGGCAGACGCCAACATCGACACTGGTATATAAGATCAGGGTAACCCCTTTCATATTGTTGTGTTCAGCGGTTGAGTACTTTTAGGCCGATTAGAGTATTCAAAGTCAAAAACTCCATAACTCCACCACTTAGGCGCATAAAGTGGCGGTTCAGCATATAATAGTTGCCTGAGATGGACCCTACGGTGCGTCATCATCAAGAGTTCTATCAAAAAATAAAAGACTATCATTTTTACTTTATGATTTAAGTGTTCGCTTACATCGCTCGGTATCGTGGCTTGTGCGCTCATTACATGCTTCACGTGTATTTCCGCTTCCATAGCGATGTATTCATGTGGATAGAGTGCTAATTGTGTGTAGGATGTAATGGAAGCCTTGGCATGGCTGCATCATGATCGATGTCTATTGTGCAAAAATAATGATTACTTTGCAGCTCATGCATATGTTCGCCGATGTAACACAATTCCGTGCATGCTGCATCGGTGGCGCCATAATTGGCGAAACGCTCGAGCCGTGGATATTGGATGCCACGTCGCTGGTTCGATTCTTCGGTTGGAGTAGTACCGGCCAGAAGGATGGATCTTTATGTAGTTTATGTATAATATATATATATATATGTGTCTGACCAAAATCATAAATATATTGATTACTATAGATTTTGAATGCAAACACTAATGCATAATAGCTTTTCCTGCTTCCACTGCCTCTGCCCACACCCATTCTACAACCCGGCAATAATTCCTTAATGAACCAATCCTTTTTATTAGCCGTCAAACCGTAAAAGTACGTTTTGCAACGCATATCGATTTCTTCGCCGATTTACCATTATATTTGATTTCATATATGGACCACATTTTC